AATTTTAGTCCTAGTATACTATTTACTATATATATATATCACAATTAATGAGACTATTCTGATATAATTTATATTATTATATAACCGTAACAATGAATCTATTATTATATAATCTATTAATATATTTTGTGACTTACATTACATGCAAAACTAAAATAACCAATTCATATATTTATATAAATATTTCCCAATATAAACACCTAATATTGTAATCTTAATATTATATCTTAATCAATTTATATTCTAACCAATATTTAACCATTATATTTAATATAACTTTTATATTTTATATCTTAATTCTAACATTTATAACAATTTTATTATATATATCCTATTTAATGTAATTAATGTTTTTAATATTTAATTGTAATTTTAATCTTTATAAGCGGACAGATATCATGAGATTCGAGTCGAATCTACAGGGAGAAGGGAGTGATGTTATAGAAAATATTGACATAAAATAGATTTATAATACAATACACACACATATATATATATATATATATATATACTTATATCAAAATATACTAACAAATAAATTTTTTAGATGCACCCTAAAATTAATACATAATATACTGCATATAACATCTACATACATAGTGCCAAAAATCCAAATTTCTTTCCCGTACTGTAACATAAATCTATATAAAATTTCCCCTATCCGGTGCCAGAATTACCAATTTTAGACATCAATCATTACATAACATAGCATAAATAGTATTATATTGTAGTGTTTTTTGGCTCCAACGCATCACTAGTATATACCTTACCTCCCTTGAAAATTTATATTGATGCGACCGAGACTATAAAACCCCAAGTATCCTCAATGATAGAATCATTGAGATACTGGTAGTCACTCGGCATAAGACTAGTACTGCTAAGAGCCGTTAGCAGATCAGTTCTCTCCCCTTCTGGTTCGACCCCCTTCTCTGATATGGTCCGTATACTTGGATGTATACCTCGTATTGATGTCATTTTAAAATAAAAGCCTTGGGATTTTAATGTGAGTTTTTACTTTTATTGTCTCCTACCTTCTCTAAGCGACCTAAATCCGTGGGTTCCCGCGTCGGGAGCTCCAGTATCGTAAAGGTCCCTTCTTGTCTACAGTTTTAAGGTAAGATGACTGGCCATCGGGTCCGCCGTGTCGGGGGATCTGGTCGGTTATGTTGTCAAGCCTTCCCGCGTATATAGCTAATGGACGGAGCCGCCGTGTCGGGGGTTCCGGTCCAGTTACATAATAATACCATACCTTACCCTAACCTACCTTATGATGGTTGGCCGTCGGATCCGCCGTGTCGGGGGATTCGTACGGTCATGCCGTCATTCCTTTACCGTTGATAGTGTGCTAACGGGTCTGTCGTGTCGAGAGATCTGTACGGCTACGCTGTCCTCCTCCCTTACCTCTTTTGACCTATACTTAGTTATGGTTGGTATAGACTACTATATGTGTCATATGGAAGTCTCCGACATCCCCGAGATTGTACCAGGCCGCCGAAGGCTCTGCCCGATTTTTCGGCAATAGTCCTACGTCTTAGTGAAACAGTTGTAGTTTTGTCGGTTCTCAGTGTTATTTAACACTAATAGTCTGACCTTAAAATACAATTTACTAGGTGATCCAATAGTTGCTGTCTTCGTGACAATAGCACTAGTTTGGTTGATTGTTGTAATTATCGGCTGTTTGAGTGAATGTGTGTGTGAATGCATAGCAGTGGATTTCTCGAGTACATATGTGCTTTCGCTAACCTAGTTGGGAAATGCATAGTTACTATTCGATACCGACTGACTAGGCAGGCCAGTGGTCCCAAGAGGGTTCCGGTCTCCCGATCGCGTGATTGTGTGTTAATAGCCGATAACGGACACTGAGTTTAAGACCGTTAACATACGCTCCTCAATAGTGATCCGAGAGTATAGTTAAGGTTTGCCTTAACTTTATGAGTCTATAGTCACCTTCGGGATTGACTGACCCGGTATAAATAAATATTTGGACACCTAATAGTTTATTGTTGTTACATATGCACTGTTCTTACAATATCACGGCCAAAAACCTATAGGTGATGTCAATTGACCCCAGAGACGACATAGTTATGTCTGACCAGATTTAACTGAATACCGTATGTGAGATAATAGAAATGTTACGATAATTATGTAATACTGTCAGCAATCTGTCGGTCATGTATTGTCTTTATCGTAATTGAGTGTATGATGTGTTTCTATAGATTTATGTTAATTTATGTGATCGGTGACTCTCCGGCGATGCATTCGTTGACCGATGCGGCGGCGGTTGTGTACGCGACACCGCTTGCTGTAGTTAATGAGCGCCTTATCATTGACGCCACCACACATACAATTTTGTCTAATATAGTCCTTGTCTATGTATGTTAGTTGAATGTAATTTTGTTGTCTGTTGTAATGTTATACAGTACAGATTAGTAGTCCAGTGATAGTCACCGTAACAAAGGTTTCGGGTGTTATCACATTTCACCGACGAGTGTTGGGTAGGGTTTAACTAGTGTTTAAACGCCTTTATTTAGTGCCGGGTAGGCACGGCTGGAGAGACATAGATGGGTTAGATTCCCCCAGAGATTGCTTGTGACGATCCCATGGTTATGTCATCAGAGTCAGAGGACTCTGATTTATAGTTTGGCCACAGGGTTGGTCAACGGGTATAGCATTACTTATCCTATAGTGGGTATTTGAATAGACTATACGCCGGTTTTACCGACGGTAGTACCGAGTGATGGTACTGACCCTTAGACTCAGTCTTACTAGTAGATTGGGTATTGAGTTGCATGTTTTGGTTAGAGGGAGGCTTTGAGGCTTCTCTCGTTGGCAATTATTGGTAGGGCCCGACCAGTTAGTCAATCGTTATGTTTTAGTTACCAGTTTATAATTGCGACAAGACATTTGTTGTCATTGAGTAATGTCGGTTTTTGTTTGTTTTAGCGCAAGTGTTGCGGCTAGCCAGCCATTGTATGGATACTGATAACACTGTATCGTCCTGTCTTCAGTATACTATAGTTGTGTCACGTGTAGTGAGTGACCAAACTAGTAAAATAGTTTTTGCTGGTCTCAGAGCTTCTGACCAGACCCGAGTGGTACAGACTTCGAGTCTTAACTCTCAAAACAATGAGTCTGTCTTAACATTGAATAGTGTTTCGTTTGATAGTAAAGGTCAAATTGAATTAAATAATCTCAGGACCAGAGATAATACCTTTTATATAATTGGTCCGCAAAGTAGTAATGTCTTAATTTACGATCAATCAGACATAGATTGTATTAATAATTGTGTAGTAAAAGCTAATATTGTGCCCAATGTACAATTAAGACAACCTAAACCACTACAAGAGTACTGTGCCAATAGTGGCGGCCATTCCAGTGGTTTACGTGAAATCATTGCATGGAAAGTGAAGCGAGTAACTCACCCTAAAAATTCTCATGAAACATCTAAATAATCAACACTTTCCAGATATAAATGGCAATGCTATTAAAATAATATTGAAACGGTATAGAAATAGGATATATTATAGTTATAACAGTAATGATAAAATCTACTCATTACAATATTAAACAAACTGTTTTTATAATTAAAATTTATATTGGTAATTAAAATGCTAATATTAATATAGTATATACGTTAACATTTGTTTACTATATCATAAAACATGTATTACTTGTATACAAATGTACAAAAAGTAATACTTTTGATTACATAATTTTGTAAAGACATCTATAAATAGTAATAATGTGACTGAAAAATTGTCCATGATTAAATTATAATATTTATTTTTATGCTAACATAAAATAATTTTAGAATCTTCTAATTTTACATATACTGTATATACTATAAAAATAAATAATAAAAATTAGTTGAAAATGTTAAATAACATTGCCAGAACAAACTTCAAAAATGTAAATTTAATTGTTATATATATTATCTAAAATGTTTATCTTAACAAACATTTTGATATACCAATATGATTAAACATATTAAAATAAAATCCATAATATTTAATTACATTCACATTAATAACATTGTATTTAAATATAATAAAAACAAAATATATTAATACCCACACATATATTGGTTACATAGTTGAATCCAAATCATATTAAACAGTATACGACATATCCATTGCTAACATTGTTTAATCCGAATAAATCATATTAAATTAAATATAGTATAATGTATATAATATATGATTTGCTGATTTTCATCAATTTTTATAAATTTTAATATAATTCAATTATTGGTTATTTTTTCGTTTATATAACGCTGTATTTAACTATTTGATTATAATATAATGAATATAATGATAAAAATATATATTATTAAGTTATGAATCATCACAAACTTGCAAAATATATGATAAATTAAAATAATGATTTTGTAACTTTTAATACTAATAATAATAATACAGTAGTATATTACAAGAATATATATAAACAAATTAACATGGTGATCTAATAAAAAAAATCTTTTAGAAAATAAATAAAAATTCAATTTTATTTAATTTAATTTTACAGCAGTTATACACTTGTCATGATAAATGGTTTGTATTAGTTTGTACTGCATTTATTAAATTTCAATAAAATTTAAACCATTAAAATTATTATATAAACTTTATTCTTAAAAATAAATTATTATTAAATTACAATACAATAAATAATATAAAAATCAAATTATTTAATCTTTTAAAGCAAAAATTACCGCAATTTAACCGAAAATTTATGCTTAATAAAAAATGCTTTGATGTATCAATAAAATATAAGTTAAATAAATTAAAAACATAACTTTAACAATATTTTTATGTTTACCATTAGATGTCTATATATAAATTAAATTAAATTCTTTATAATAATAATTATTAATAATTATAAACACATTCTCAAAAATCCTAACAAATWGTTAAGGAATGGAATGTATATTAGTTATACATTTAGTTCACATTAAGTGAACATCAATTTTTGTTTGCACTTAAATGTAATAAATTGTTTCCTAAAATCAATTCAAAGGCACAAAATTATGGAGTAATTATATAYACATTAGTTTTAGATAATTTAAAAACAGTCTAAAATTAATTTCAAGATTCATTATTATATGAACTCAATGAGCAAACAATTGCATTACTGGCAATGACTCAAAAATCAAATTATAAATACTAACTAAATATTAAAGTCTATCATTTATTTCATTATCACTTTCTTGTTTCTTAGATGTCTGCCATTTAAAGTTACTATTCAATTGCCATTTCTGTGATTTTCTATTTTCACATCTCTTAAGCACCGGAAGTGTTGAATCTCTGTCGGTGTTTGGCTTATCTAAACAAAGACCGGTATTTCTGTGAACTATTTGTTTTGTGCGTTCGCTGTATTCCCATATCTGATTGCCTCCCATTCCGTGACAACGGATTAGCTTAACGGGACTTTTAGCGTCCGAAGCGTCTAAACAATTATCATCGGACATGATTTGCTTGCGTTTAGTGTAAGCAAACACCTGATTACCACCCAATCCATGGCACTGAGTCATYGCAAGATTCTCACCACTTTTACGGCCATAAGTGTCCAAACAGTGATTGTTATCCAAGTTCTTGATGTCACCCAATGAATGATAGTCTAAAGGCATCGAACTTTCCGGATATATATTCTCTAAATACCATCGAAAACCTATAATTCATTTAAAAATTATTAATTTTAAAATTAAAAATGTATTTTTTTTTTTGAATTACTTTTGCATTTTAATTCTCTTCTCAATTGTTTTCGAGGTTCAGTGTCTCCCATATCAGCCCTCTTTGCCGCCGGATTTATGGCATAATAAAACTCTTTCCATTCGTCGAGCCAGACATCAGCCAGTCGTGCGTTATTGTGATTAACTATTTTACTCGTACCGCCCGGAAAGGTATACGGAGTTGACTTTCTAAACACGTGTCCGACATGACTGCACGTCGCTATCTCAAGAGTTCCGCCACACATCCAGATTCTGAAACTCAGCTCCAGGTTCTCTCCGCCCCAGATATCCATCCCTTCATCATATTTACCTAACTTTTCAAAGTATTGTCTGTCCATAGAGAACAGTCCGCCGGCCATCGTCGGTGTCCTCACAGGTAATGTTCTGTCATTTTTTCTTCGATCGAGTTCTCGTTGAGGAACTCTATACCTGTTTAACCATTTATTACATTTTATTCATTATAGTATTATTAATAAATTATATACAATCACTACAAACCATCTAAAATTAAGTTTCCAATTAAATCCACCCCAAGTCATGTCTGATGCGGGAATATATTCAAAATTTTCATCACTTATCACATCAATTATAGGACAAACCACTCGAGTTCTAAAAAACAATTTTATACAAAATTTGCTTTAAATTTTAAATAACATATAAATTATTATTAAATAAATTAATTATTCATTTATCCAAATAATTATCAACTCATACTTCATTCAACATATATTTCTGATATATAAAAACGTCATCATTTATATTATAAAATTATTTCAAACATCTAGTGTATAGTTAATTAGACATACCTGTCCTCAACAATTCTAGCGAGAAGTGGTTCGAGCCATCCTTTAGTGCACTCGCAGTGAGCGTCCAGAAAGGTTAAGACATCACCTTTGGCTTCCTTGGCTCCAATAAGTCTGGCTCTTATAAGTCCCGATCGTTTGCCGGTTCGCAACACTTTAACTGTTGTCGACAGCTTTGACACATAATCTTCTAATTTTTTGCCTAAAAAGTCTATTTAAATAGTAATCAAATATAGTAAATGACAATATATTAAATTATTTGTCAAAATAAGTCATATATTGTAATAATAATTTCATATTTTAAAACAGTTGTCAACTTTTTTTTATATTTATATAAATGGGTCAAAATTTTATGATTGTAAAAAAATATATATTCAGAAATCATAAAATTATTTAGATATAATTAAGTAAAAATCTATAAATGTTTAGTAAACAATAAATGATATGACATAAAACAATACAATACCTCTTTCACTGGCGTCGTCTACTAAAAGGATTTCCTCAATTAATTTTTCGGGTGAAGTCCTAATAATACTATGAACTGATTTAAAATAAATTATATAAATATATATATATTTATAATTAGTACAAACAATCAATAATAAAGTGATTGGTTTATAGACTTTCTGGTATGAGTGGTCACCTAAAATTGGTATCATATCATAACATTATTACAATACAGTACATTCATATACTGTATGTATTGGGAAATACAATAATATCATACAGTATTTTACGATTAATCAAATGTCTTAGCTTTTTAACAAAAACCAGAAAATCTAAAGTATATTATTAATCACTTTATATAACCATAAATTTATCTACCGGTGCGTAATAATGTACTCCAAGCCTCGTTATGAAACACTATCACTATTGATGTCGTTGGAAGAAGTTTAGGGTAATGTTTACGACGACAACTATAACATTGTTTAAAAAACAATTTAAATGATTTTTTTAAATCATTAAATAAAAATAAAAACARATTAAATACCCGTCCATTCGGACGTCTGGAAGAGATCTATTGAGAGCTATTCTATCACTGGCCAAGAGATTGAATTTATTTAGATTAAACTTTTCATTTTTCAATTCTTCTTCTTCTTTACCAATGATGACTGCCTTTCCATTCTCTCCCAACCAATGCGACGGATTTAAGTTTGTCACTAAAAAAATAAATAATCACTATATTTATGATACATTTATGGTTATCGTTGTAATTGATATACCTCTTGGAATCCATGTCTTCAGTTGATGTGATTGATAATGAGGTAAAAAACTATTATCCGTTTTTTGATTAATCAAATTTGACACAAAAGTATTGTCATTAACACTATTGTCATTAATATAGTCATTGGATTCATCACTGAATCGTTTGTTGGCATTCGTGTGAATGTCTTTAAGACGTGAATTATTGCCACAATTGATGGTATTTTGTGCCAAACACTCCATATAATAGACCAGAAGACAGACACCAAAGATGATCCAAACCAATGATGTCAAGAGCATCACCCGAAAGGTATGCCATCTGACCATTGGTCGCAACAATAATAAAGCCATTTATCGGCTAAACAAGTGGTCACTGATTATCACTCACTAGACATCACTTCAGTAGACAATCACTGCAGACATATCTGACTCATTGACTCTAAAAAATGGGTGAATCGTTACAATCGTTACTAAATATTAATACAAATCATTACAAACACAAACTCATTGAATAGACTGTAAATATAGCGAACATTCAATTGAATGCATTCAATGCACCGACAATACAGTCCAATACAGTCGACACACAATACTATTACATGTGATAACTCCCTCTCTTAACGTATACTCTAATGCTTTTCATTTATAACAATCAATCAATCATTTAATAAATCAATTATTAGTATATCTTTAATATTTCTAGTTTCCAGTTATAATAATCAAATCGGCAATCGATGGATAAAAATGTCAATTTTTGAAAATTTTTAATATTTATTACTTTAAATAATCATAACTAGTTTATTAACTTATATAAAATTTATATAAAATTTTAACAATTAATTTATAGGATATTTTAAGTCTTCAAAATCAATTGAAAAATAGTATAGATTTGAAACTATTTAAATTGTTGATATATTAAATATAATAATTAAATTTTCAATTAGTGTTTTAAATAGTAATTGTGAATTTTATAAAATAATTACTTTAAGTTTATTTTTGACAAATTAAAATATTTGTTAATTTTCGATATTATTGTTCACAAAAGTGTTGACAAAACACTTAAAATACGATAAAACTTTTGTTTGTATCAAATTTAGTATTATTTTAGTATTTTTCTAATATTAAATTCTATACAATTTATTAATAATTATTGGAAATATCCGAAATTAGTGGTTAATAGTTATAAAATATTTATTTTTAAAAATAGTTGTTATAAAAGTTAGTAAAAATCCACGAAAATTATTAAAAAGTTATATTACTTTTTTTTAAAGAATGAAAATAACTAAATTATATGCTGTATAACATATCAACTAATAAATCAAATAAAAATATTATCTATTGTTTGATAATTTAAAAAAAATAAATATTACTATATTGTCAAACTGATAAACCTTTTGAAAAATAAAAATATTATCAAAATGTTTGAACAAAGTATAATCATCTGATGAAACTGACAATCACTGAATATGTTAGGTATCAATGATCTTATCATAAAAATATCAAAAGTTTTTGATGATTATCCCATACGAGTTACAAAAAAAATCAAAAACCGGTTTTAATGGTATTGAATAACAGTATTGAAAGTGAGTTTAAATTTAAATATCAGGTGAAAGGAGAACCCATTTTTGGAGTCAATGATTGAGTCTCTGTTTGTAAAAAAATGATTCATTTGTTGAATACCTGTTCAACAATTATGAAAGTATTGGAAGTGATTGGAAGTGATTGGAAGTGATTGGAAGTGCCGAAACTGATTACTAATCAGTTAGTATTAATGGCACGGTTTATGCGACCGACGATAAAATGGCATACATTTCGGGTAATGCTATTGACATCTATAGTTTGGCTCGTATTTGGCATCTGTTTGTTGATTATGAATATTTCTAATTGTTAGTTAATATCATTTAAATATTTGTATATTTAAAACTATTTTTATAACATTATTTATAATTTATATATAAAGGGGTAAATGATACCTTACCAGTATTTAGTGACCAAAAATACCCCAAACAATATACCAATAAAAGAGGTATTCGTGTTATTATTGGCCAATATATGGGCGATGGATATCCATGGGATGCGGCGCCCAACCTAACAGATGGTAAATTGTTTTATGATTTTTAATTAAAAAATTGTTGTTTAAAGATTTAAAATATTAATTAAAGTTCAGATGACTTTTAATTAAAATTTTTTACAATAGTATAATACCTTTTATATAAAATGACAGAATAATAGAAATAATTTTTAAAAATATTATATACTATTATACAATATTATCTAAAATTTTTTGACAAAAGATTTCTATTGACTATTATTTTGAATGAATGTCGAAACAAATTATACAATACATTGTAATATTTACCTGTATATAGACTACCGGTATATTATAGATTATAATATAAACAATTTGATAACAATATTATTAAAATTGGAATGTATTGTCTAGTAATTTAGATTTTTATCAAATAGATAGCTATCATATAATAACTTATGATTATAGTAAATATAAATTTCACGATTATTATACTGTATTTATATCAAAATAATGTAATTGGTGTCAAAATGTCATTTATAAAATTTTTTGTTAATTAATTAAATTAATTTTTTTTAATTGCATTCATTTATAGAGATATTAAATCAAAACAATTATTCTCCGATACCTAAAATGGGTGAAAATGGTTTACCCGTTTATGTGCAAGAATTTGAAGCAAACAAAATGAAAATATTATTTAATATAAATCACTTCAATCTATTGGCCAGCGATAGGATATCTGTCAATAGATCTTTACCTGACTATCGTATGGAAAGGTATATTTGAATAATTTCATAATGTTATCAATAAATTGTTAAATAATAAAGTTTTTAAAACAGTTGCAAAAGAAAACAATATCCGAAAAATATTGGCACGACATCAATAATTATAGTATTTCATAATGAGGCCTGGAGTACATTATTGCGGACAGGTAGTTTAGTTAAATTAATAAACAAATTAACTAACTAATCAATTATTGTCATTAGTTCATAGTATAATCCAAACGTCACCAAATAATTTGATTAAAGAGATTATATTAGTAGACGATGAAAGTGAAAGAAGTAATCATATTTATCAATAAAATTATAACAATTCATTACATAAGTCATACATTACTTTATTATTGTATTTTTTATATAATTGAAGCATTTCTTGGAAAAGAGTTAGAAAATTATATTTCCAAACTCCCTGTTCTCGTGAAAGTGATGCGAACCGGCAACCGGTCGGGTCTAATACGGGCCAGACTTTTAGGAGCTAAAGAAGCAAAAGGAGATGTATTAACCTTTTTAGACGCGCACTGCGAGTGTACTAAAGGATGGCTTCAACCACTTCTCTCCAGAATTGCTGAAAACAGGTAATCATTATTAAAATTTTTATTTCTATAACTTTAATTATATTACTTTAAAAAACAATTTTGATAAAGTTATTAATAATCAAACACAACAATAGTTTGCTTAATGTTAATCGACTTTTAATTAATATTTATTGAATAGGCATTTAAATTACAGTATACTTTATTAGAGTTTTACTACTATATTAAGATTAATATTACTCACAGATATTGGAAATGTATAATAATATTTCTTTATATTACTCTACTAACATATTTTCAATATAATTATTTACTTTAAAATAAATTCTAATCAAATTAAAATATATTAATAATAACAAAATTATATAAGAAATCAATAACCTCTTCAAGATTTGAATATTAAAAATATATATGTTTATAAATTATATATAAGTTTAAATATACTGTATATATATATATTAATATCATTTACTGAAATAATTGTTATTTCAATAATAATATACTAAATTTATAAAATTTATATATAGTAAAAATAATTGTGGAATCAAATATTTGAATTGATTTATAATTATAGATATTTTTTAAATCTTAGAACTCGAGTGGTTTGTCCTATAATTGATGTTATAAGTGACGAAACATTTCAATATATTCCCGCATCAGACATGACTTGGGGTGGATTTAATTGGAAACTTAATTTTAGATGGTTTGTAGTAATTGTATATAATTTATTAATAATACTATAATGAATAAAATGTAATAAATGGTTAAACAGGTATAGAGTTCCTCAACGAGAACTCGATCGAAGAAAAAATGACAGAACATTACCTGTGAGGACACCGACGATGGCCGGCGGACTGTTCTCTATGGACAGACAATACTTTGAAAAGTTAGGTAAATATGATGAAGGGATGGATATCTGGGGCGGAGAGAACCTGGAGCTGAGTTTCAGAATCTGGATGTGTGGCGGAACTCTTGAGATAGTAACGTGCAGTCATGTCGGACACGTGTTTAGAAAGTCAACTCCGTATACCTTTCCGGGCGGTACGAGTAAAATAGTTAATCACAATAACGCACGACTGGCCGATGTCTGGCTCGACGAATGGAAAGAGTTTTATTATGCCATAAATCCGGCGGCAAAGAGGGCTGATATGGGAGACACTGAACCTCGAAAACAATTGAGAAGAGAATTAAAATGCAAAAGTAATTCAAAAAAATACATTTGAATTTTAAAATTAATAATTTTTAAATGAATTATAGGTTTTCGATGGTATTTAGAGAATATATATCCGGAAAGTTCGATGCCTTTAGACTATCATTCATTGGGTGACATCAAGAACTTGGATAACAATCACTGTTTGGACACTTATGGCCGTAAAAGTGGTGAGAATCTTGCGATGACTCAGTGCCATGGATTGGGTGGTAATCAGGTGTTTGCTTACACTAAACGCAAGCAAATCATGTCCGATGATAATTGTTTGTATGGATCGCACCGTAAAACTGCTGTCAAATTGCTTGACTGTCACGGAATGGCAAAGAATCAGATTTGGGACTATAATGACAGCACTAAACATATTATTCACAGAAGTTCTGGACTTTGTTTAGATTTTAAGACAGAAAAAGATGGGATATTACCGATGATAATGAAGTGCAGTCAAAGTGATTCACAGAAATGGCAAATGAATAATAACTTTGAGTGGCAAACACCCAAACTTGTGACCAAACAAAATGATAATTATATTAAAAATCGATTATAATATTATAATAATTAAATTAATTGTTTAAAATTTTGTATTATATTTTAGTCATTTTGTAAAACACTTTTATTGCCTTTTATTTATTTTTTATAATATAATAATATTTTTTTAATGAAGTGATTTTGACATCTATTTATAATTATTGTTATTTATTATTTTAATTTGTGATTAGATTAACATTAAATAAAGATTTATWTTAAAGTTGTAAACTAATTGCACAATTTTGTTTACTGCAAAGTATTAAAACTATCAATAGATTTAGTAAATTATATTTATTTAATAAATTTTTTAATACTAAATGTTTAGAAATTAATTAAATAGTAATTAATTGAAACCAAATGAAAACAATTAAATTGTATTTAAATCAATTAAAATACAATTATAATAATAATTATTGCAATAAATGTCACGTTATATGTGAATGACTGTCAATGTGTGTGTGATTTCCACATCCGTTAGCCATAAGTCACACATTGAATGAATGTATTGAATGAATGCATAGAAAATGTATTGAAAATGAATAGTGTTTTGTGTTTTGCACTGAATATCACTTTCTTTGTGTGAATTGATTGTCAAAACACACATTCATTTGTATTGTCGATCACTTTGTGACCAATTGTGTTGTCTGTCAATACTTGTCGTCAGTTTTTGTTTGTCTTTTGTCATTTGATTAACAATTGTCGCCAAAATGAGTGACCGCGAGGTTTGTATAATTAATTTTTACCACAAATATTAGTAATTCTTTAATAATTCTGTGTTTGTATTGATTTGTTAGGAATCAGTTGAACGCCAAGAGAACGGATCCCATCGGTCGCATGAATCTAATCGAAGCCAATCACCGCGTGCTTCGGAATCGCCGCGACAGTCACGCAGTCGCTCGCGGTCTCCGAGACCAACAGCCAGATCGCGATCGCCGCGAAAAAAGTCGCGTTCAAGAAGTAGATCCCATTCACACCGTTATAGTCGTCACAGAAGAGATCACTCGAGATCTCGTTCAAAAAGTCCGCGATCTCGACGATCGTAAGTAATTTATTAAATGTTWACAATTTTGTCTAAATTATTTCAATTATAACAAATGGTCAAACAGTGGCCGCGACCGACGTTCATCCGATTACGATCGTAAATCTCGTCGCGAAGGTAGTTATCACGACTCGAAAGACAAACGTGATCACAGAGATCACTCCCGTTCACCAATGTCTTCACGACGCAGACATGTTGGCAATCGTGAGAACCCGCCAACTGGTACCTGTCTCGGCATATTTGGTTTGAGTATATATACTCAAGAAAGGGATCTAAAAGAAGTCTTCACAAAGTATGGACCCATAGAAGACGTACAGATTGTTTATGACGCACAAAGTGGTCGCTCTCGAGGCTTTGCGTTTGTCTATTATGAAGACAAAAATGATGCGGCAGTGGTACTGATTTGTTGTTATTTATAGTTATTTTAGATTAATTTACATCTATATTGTCATTAATTAGGCCAAAGATAGATGTAATGGCATTGAAATTGACGGACGAAAAATACGAGTGGACTTCTCTATTACCCAAAGAGCTCATACGCCCACTCCTGGCATTTATATGGGAAAACCCACTTAGTATGACTTGACATTCAATAATATTATTATGTTTTTAAATATTATAAATAAATATTTATATTATTTCTAGTGCTCCCCGTTATAGAGGTGGTGGTGGAGGCGGTGGAGGAGGAGATTTTCACCGCGGAGGTCGTGGATATGGTGGTGGTGGAGGAGGAGGCGGCGGCGGGGGATACGATAGATATGAACGATCTGACAGATCTGCTTCTCCTTATTATTCCCGACGAAATCGATACTCTCGTTCCCGATCACATTCTCCCCGTAAGTATTCTCACTATTATTGAGAGAATAAACCAAAAACCTACCGAATATTATGAGACAATTTGTTTTGAGTAATAATTATGTGATTTCAAGAAATTTTTTGTCACACTATTTGAAATGATGTAATCTTTACGGTAATTATTTTTAGACAACCATTTGTTACATAACCATAATTATAATTATTTAGTTGATATTCAATAACTGCTTTATTTAAGTCATTGTTTAATGTAATATCCAATTGTATTCATTATTATTATATTGTAACCCTTAATATTATAATTATTTCACAATAACTATTGTTTTATAAATCATAACCACCTCTATATTATATGACTATGAATTTTAAGAAAACAACATTTAGTAAAATTAATGTTTAAAAACCAAATTTCACAACAAATTAATGATTGATTTGTAAATAATTGTATGATTTTATTATTTCTGAAAGGAGTTGCCATACGTTAGAAGTTTTAGAAGAAAACTGAAAATATTAAGAAAAGTATTGAAGAGAATTGAAATAAGAAATGAAAATTAAGAAATTATAAGAATTTATAAGAAAATGTTTGATCGTTAATATTAATGAAATTATAAGAACGGATTGTATTCATTACCAGAGAGTTGAAACAATTGGCTGAACGCAAACAAAAGTATTGCTATCTTTCAGTTAAACCGGTAATTGAAAACAAAGTTTGGCTCAAGATTTAAATGAATGAATTATTGAAAATTAGACATACATTTGAACCAAACGTTGAGAAATGAATTGAAATACTGTATAATGAAAATATTGAATTTAAAGATTTGACAAAAAAAGCGCGACTTCTGTTGATTATCAATATATTTGTTTTGGCATTTCATTTGATTTTAAACTATTGATAAGGGGTTTCATTCAAAAAGGGGGTCTAATTGTATATTAGTTTTAAATTATTATTAATTCTATGTTTTAATTAGAACCCAAAGGTAAGTTGAAATTTTAAATAATATAATTCATTATATAATGTGTATATCAAATGTATGGTAAGGTATAATTTGATATTAAATTATTTGAAATAACATTTGTTGCAAATAATAGCATTCATCTCATAATCGGATTAAAACACTAACTATTGACACAAATTTCCTTCAAAAGTAAGTTTTGGATCAGATGTTTATGATTTGTTACAATTTTGTAATATATTATTAACTAATATTAAAATAAAGTTTATTTTTTAAATAAAATGTATTTTTATTTACTTTATGTTGTATTAAAAAGTTTATTACAAGTACCGGTACATTACTTGTCTTGTTTTTATTTTATTCCAGTAATTGTTAAGTAAAAAACAAAATAGGTTTCTTATGAAATATATAAATTTTATTTTGATTTTTATAGTTATATAAACCAGAATTTTTAATATAACAAAAAGATAATATTAATAAAAATCACTAATTTTTAAAAATAAATTGACTTAAAATAATACTGACTAGAAATGAATTGCTATTTAAATACAATGGGTTTCGGAGCAAAATAATGGCACAAAAGGAATGATTGATACTTAATATAAATTATATATATATATATATATATTACACATTTTTCTAAAATATCATCAAATAATATAATCCAAAAGTTATCACATTTTCATATATATAACTATAGTTGTGATTTTTGGCAGAAATATTGTTTCTCTAATATGAAAATCAATGCCATAAATCTCGAGGAATAATACTATTCTTAAATTGATGTAATGATAGACTATTTGATACGCTTTTTAGCGATCGTTTGTTTTTCTTAGAAATCTCACTATTGATGAGTTGGTCAGAGATGTCATTGTTTTGAGCACTGGAATCGACTGTAATTTTGGTATTTATACCATACGGACGCAAATGATATAACAAGTACTCCAATACGTACATCATATTTGGGTTAACGTAATGAAATGATATGGCAGTATCACTACAACAACCCATTCCCTATAATTTTAAGATATTGTCAATTATTCGATGTATATATTGATTTGTTGTTACCTCTTGAGATGGATAGTAGATGTACTGCCAATACCAAAAACTTTTATCGACGTGTCCGGGAATAACATGATGTTCGGGAACAAATGGGAAGAAGCGACCTCTGCCTAAGCTATCTCTCGAGTCGCCGGCGGTTACATCTAATGACTCCAAACACTGTCCCATATCGACATCTTCAGCACCGCCTTCCTTACTCTCTTTACATTTCTTTGGGTGTCCCGGACTCATACCTTTCTCAACAAAACGTTTGAGAGCTTCACGGCTTAACACATATCCAGCACCTCCTGACATATACCCTGAAGAAGCAATAAATGCAAAACTTTAAATAACATAAATTTTGCAAATGGCTTAAAACAAACCCTGTTTAACATAAGGCTTGAATTTACAGCCAAAATAAATAGCATTTGACGAGTTATGCGATGAAAGGAAATATCTTAGATTCTCGACCACAACATATGTGTCATCATCTGCTTTGAGGAACCAATCGGCTTCTTCAACATAGTTATGATATGAATAGTTAAATGAAGCCCTAGTTTTGGCCCACAATTGGTCTCTACCTTCAGTAACATCAAGTTTGACTGTCGGAAGGCTTTCGTCATATTGAGAGCTCATAAATAGTAAAACATTACACCTTTGACCCCAAGTGGCCTTTACATGTTTGGCCTTTTTCTCATGATTTGTTGGGTTAGTCATTATCCAGCATAAAATACGCACTTTTTTGGCCAACTCTTTTGCTACCAAATCATCGTCTATAATGTATATAATATTATATAAATTATTTAATTTAATGATATATTTATATATTAAAGATAACTTATATAACTCTCATATATAGATAATGTAATACTAAGTAATTGTCAAATGCATGTTTAATTATCTAAATATTTAATAAATATTTATATCTTTATACCCATTTAAATAAGCTGTCAGTACAACTGGTCAAACAAATTAACTGCTAAACATAACTAATGCATTATAAAATTACAGTACATTAAGTGTAAAATATTATTTATAGTCACTTTATTTTGACGATTCTTGAAATATCATTTAATACATTATAAGGCAAAATATATTATTTAATATAATTTTGTAATTTTATTGTTTGTATAGTATTTTTCTTTTGGGTCAATAATAATTTAGTGGTAAATATAAATCTCAAGAATGATATTAATAGAAACATTMATTAATAAAAAAAATAAATAACTTAGTCATCATGTCTTCAATTTATTCCATAGTATTATACAATTTTTAACAATTAAATCCATAAATATAAGTGACATAAACATTACAAATCTAATAAAGTCTAATATAATACAAATATAAACTGTATGTCTATTACCTAAATATTCTATTATATCGTACACTCTATTAGTTTAAATTATTGAATCCTAATAATATATCTAATAAAAATATCCTTAATAAAAATATAAGCATACCGGTATAGTTAAACATAATACTGTATTTATAACATTCAAATAAAATAAAGTTAAACAAAAACATTATACGTATATTTACAGTTATATATACAGTATATTATTAAATAATATATTAATATAATATTTATATAATATATTTCATATTATAATTACCACTTAATAATATAGAATAGTATGAAATATATCTTTACTTTAATTATAAAACTTTTAAAACCACAAACTTCTGTAATATCTATTTAATCAATTTATATAGAATTCAATTATAAGATATTTAATAATCTTGTAATTTTAAAATTATAAAATTGTATTATTGTTACAAAATAGTATTACTAAATTTAAGAAATTGATATAACAACTTATCATTAATTAACATTATATTTACAACATTTTATTTTTATATTGTAATTAAAATGACAACACATTTTTGTCCAGAAGCTGATGATTCATTGATCCAAATAAAACAAATACAATACATTAGATTACAACAGCATTTAACTAATAACAACTAAACTAATATATCTCAATATAACTCAATATATCTATTGTTTAGTCAGTACTTTGAATATCAAATATTTATAGATTCAATAAAAATATTTGTAGTCATTAATAAATAGTACTGTAATAATGTTAAAATTAAATAAAATTATATTTATTTATGACAAATAATAATACTATTCTTATTATGTATTAATTTAGTTCTTAACATTAATCATATAATTGTTAATTAAAATTTACTCTAATCATCGATTGAGTATATAATTATCATTCATAATCATATAAATAATTACCGGTAATTTATGAATTTAATTAAAAACATATCCTAAATAATAATAATTTTTATTATCGTAATTAATTAAATGTCTAATTAATTAAATGTCTAATTAATTAAAGTAATAAACAATTAGATTTAAAATGAATTAAATAAATATAATAGTGAACCAACCCTTATGAAACTCTTCGTCATGACTGTGCAGTGAAACAGTATCGGATGGTCCGATAGCTCGGTCTAGATTGTGGTGATCGTGTGGATCGCTGTCCACATGTGAGTGGTCGTCATGTAAAGGTGATGGTATGAACAATGTGTGGCCATTGAAGCCAGCCTTCTGGTAGTTGACAACACTTAGTAATAAATAGGCGAAACTGAAGCCAAATGTCATTCCCATAGCAAGTGTTAGCAGAAAATTACGGGATATTCTTGAACTCATTGGTTGGCATATAGTTGACTGTTGACCACCCGTTACCAACATTTCATACTTGTGCTTCATTTCTCTATTATATCACTAAAATAGTATACATATGTATATCATATATATTTATTTATATATTTATACCCACTATTAGTTTTAATTTAATTTATAATAAACATCACGATTTATACAGAGAATTAGTTTATACTAGTTTTGTGTGTAAACACATATTTTGTACAAAATGTCATATTAATAATAAAAKYATCGATATATTTATATAAATGACTGTAAATATTAAACATCCCATTATTTGGTTAAACTAATTTCAACTATTTTATAGTACATCAAAGTTTATCATTTAGTGATAAATATATTGTAAACTACATATAAATTTACTAATTTTATATAAACGTCAGTTATATTAAATTAATATATTTTTTAAAAATAAAATAGTCAATCAATCATCATTATTAAACTTATTATTATTAATATTCTATATTTAATAAATAACTCTTGGTCAATTTATTTTATAAACATCAAATATACTAATTTATTAATAGACAAAATTGATATATTTATTATAAATCACTTTAAATATAATATATCGATAATATTAAGTTTAAATTTTAAAAAGAGTTAATAAAACAAGTTTAAGTTAAAGATATTAACAATATATTAATATATATCATAATATCATATACTGTATGATATATTCCTATATATTTTTATTAAAGATATGCCATAAATGGTTAGTAATAATAAACAACACTTTTATTTGTTTAGTAAATGATATGAAAATAAAATGTTAGTAACATTTTGAAGACATTTACGATAAAATGAGTGACACTTTTAATTGTATATAAATTAATATAAGAAAACTTATTGAAATAATATATTAATTGATTGAATAGTTTTAAAACAATACTCACAATTGAATCAGTGTTTGATTGATGTATTGGTCATCACTTATATGTGTTTATGAAACCAATTGCCAAACACATCGACAATAAGCAAATCGACTCTAAATTATCTAAAAATTATCACTCAATTCATTGTGAGTTTGTATTCATTAAGTGTTGAATGCAATCAATGTATGTATTGCTCATCAAATGAGATCACAATCGGTGTTACAAAATGTGTTTGAATTATATTTACTACACTTTCTCTATTAACTAGTGTTGACACATATTAATACAACTTATTTTTGTATAATAATTATTGTTGTTTGTTGTAATGAAAATATCACATATTTTATCATATTATGCAGTATTTAATACTGTATATCTCATTATTATTTTGTTGTGTATATTATATTAAAAACTCCTAATATTATAAATTTATTAAACTGTTTCATATCTGATTAATTGTAGTTTAAGTGGCATTATTAACAAATGTGTTATACTTTATATAAATCTAATAATTATTTAATAATACAGTAGTTAGGTTTCTGATAACCAATCCGGTAAAAAAAATCCCGAATAGTGATGGTAGCCCAGACCTCCCTGAGTCCCCCAATACCACTCACATAGCTGTCCGATCTCCGCAATTCGAGATATTCGACTTTAAAGTCGAAATTTTTAATTGACGTTATTTATGCATATGATACATGATTTCAATGTATTTTTTAATACTAATAATATATCTGAAAACAAAATATCAATAAGTCATTTAGTATTCGAGATATTCGACTTTAAAGTCGATTTTTTTTATTTGACGTTATTTATTCATATGATACATGATTTCAATGTATTTTTAATAATGATTTTGATACTAGAATGATTTTTGAATTGTAATTATAATAAAAATAATACAATATTTAACTAAAGTAAAATAATTAATTATAAAATATAAAAAAATATGATATGGTAATTTCAATTAAATAATAAATTTAATAAAAAGTAGTACATTGATATGAGTAATCAAGTTATACAAAAAATCAATAAAAAATTGAATAAATAATAAATTCAATAAAGTTATACAAATATTATTAAAGTTATACAATAAAATTCAATAAAAATTTGATTAAATAATAAATTCAATAAAGATTTGATATAATAATTGCTATATAGATTAATATGTTCATTAATTATAATGGATTTAAAAACATATTGTAAATGTGTTGGTGGATCATGCATGAAAGATACAAATGGATAATCATTTGATTCAGAAATTAGTGCAGAAAAATGATTAGGGGAATTAAAAACAATGAAAATTTTTGATTGTACAAGGAGTAATTGTGAGGCTTTTGTGCCTAAAACTTTACTATTAAATTGCTGTGATAAAATACTACTGTCATTAAGTTTAAGATTATGAAAGAAATCATTTGATTTAGAGTTAAGAAATCCACTAAAAACATAAATTGGTTTTTTTAATTCAATTGACGTTGCAATTATAGCTTCACTAATTGCCCAATTATCCTCAACTAAATTTTTGAACTTTTTATTCAAATCGTTAATTTAATCTTTAGGATAAACAACTGAATTAAGCAATTTATGAAAATTTTGACCTATTTTTGTACAGTATAAAATAATTTCGACTTTAAAGTCGAATATCTCGAATACTAAATGACTTATTGATATTTTGTTTTCAGATATATTATTAGTATTAAAAAATACATTGAAATCATGTATCATATGCATAAATAACGTCAATTAAAAATTTCGACTTTAAAGTCGAATATCTCGAATTGCGGAGATCGGACAGCTATGTGAGTGGTATTGGGGGACTCAGGGAGGTCTGGGCTACCATCACTATTCGGGATTTTTTTTACCGGATTGGTTATCAGAAACCCAGTAGTTATAAGTTATACGATACTTGTAGTCAAATTTATAGGTATATTTCCATATCTGATATTATCTTTCATCAAATTTTTAAGCATTTAAATACATTTAATTGTTGTAAAGGCAGCTATAATGAAGTAATCCATTAATAATTATAATTATATTGATTTTATACAAAATTTATACAGTATTATTAAATGTAAGATGACAACTCTAATATGAATTGTAAACATATTGTTATTATGCGATCAAAAGGTAGAAAACGTTGAAACCTTATATTATTGATATAATTATTATAACATTATTATTGAATTTGCTATTAATTATAGGGAACTAAATAGTTATTAAAACGTTATTTGTGTTTATAATGATTGCATTAATAAGTTGTCATTAATACTGCATTTGTATTGCATTTGTATTGCATTTGTATTGACTATTATTTAACGTAAATTGAATGACACGTGAAATGAAGTGAAGTTTAATTATTATACGATTAGTGAATACATTGAATGCGACAAACAGTAAGATATTTATGGCAACTAAACCATCGGTCAGACCTAAAGTTAGGTCCAAACAGTTAGAGGTTTGATATAAAATGACATTTGGATGACAATTATCACATGAATCATATGTTTTGCAGAAACCAATGGGAGAACCGTTGGAGAAGAGGACTATTAAGTTTGAGGACAGGGATGGCATCCAACGTTACTATCCGGCACTGGTATGTATTGAGTTAATTATATTTTTGCCCAAATATTACAAAATGTGATGATTTGTTGACTTAAAAGCACATAAAGTTTGCGCACACTATGGTTTGGCCGAAGTTGTGGTTACCACCGATGCAGACAATCGCCGCTTTGCATTTAAATGGTAATGACTTGCAGTCCAACAATGACATCAAGAAATGGATTGAAAATATCAACAATTTTGAAGATATGATTAAAACATTACTCCGATTACCACATAACCAGTTATTATCATTTAGTATATAATATTATATATGATTTTATTTTAAATAATGATTTCTGTGTTATCAAGATTTTGGTCGACATTAGTCTATGAGAAGAGTCTTCAAATAAGTTTGGAATCTTATCTTAAGTTTGCTCCCAGAAGTCATGATATGACAACTTCTTTATTAACAGATCAGATGAAATTAGTTCTTAAAAGAGTATTTCATTTGGTCTTTAAGTTATATTATAGGATTTGTTCGGTCGTAGAATCAAATGTAATGTCATTTAATTGAATTAGTGATTAAATTTTAACAATTRATAATAATATTTAATTTTAGGCACACTTTATATCAGAGAATACATTTGGATCTCTAATATATGACAATTACCTGATAGATGTGCCAAAAATTATAGATCTATCGTCTCTTTACGTGAATACATGTTATCATCAAATTTTAACTCAAATGCTATCAAATGTGATTCGATGTCAGCCTCGATATGAAGACGATTTGTTTCAGAGTTGTTCTAATTTTGTCGATATTTTTCATTCAATTGAACAAAGACTTGGAATCGATGAAAATCAGTTCGAGACAAATGATAGGCTATCTTATTGTCAGTGGACTGAATTGCAAACCATTATCTCAATAATAGTGGTTACCAGTGATAATCTTAGAGTACTTATTCAAACTTTTCCATTAATGTCTGATTTATACAAAAGATCATCTATTGATAAAACTATTGCCGAGTTTTATAATAGAGTTTTTTCTAATCTCCAAAATGAACTTAAAAGAAGATTTGAATTATTTAGTGGTAATGAAATGTAAGAATTATTATTACATTATTGTTAGTTATAATAACAGTAATATTAATTAAGTAATGTTTAATATGCAGACAAATTGGTGATAGAATACAACGACAATTACTCAGAGCCCGTTCCCAACTTATAGCAACGTTTAGAAGCATTATTGAGACATCTTTTTTAAATAAATTTACAAATGAAAGGTATTTTTAATTATTTAACAAATATATGAATTAATTAACTTATTATTTTGTTTAAAATATAGCATTAATAACGAAACTAAATTATCATTAATTGATCAGTTGATTGAAATGTTGACAATGGCTTCATATGAGAAATGGTAATAATTGTCTAAATGTCATCAATTTTATATTACCATAATTTAAAAATTTTTATTTTTTAGTTTTATAAGTGATTACTGCAATGTGTATGATATTGATAAAGATTTAGAGATGTTGTCGAGTAGTAGTAATTTAACACTATTTAAAAGTCTTGATAAAACACGACTCGATTATCTCAAGAGTGTCATCAAAAATAGTACTTTTCGTTCAACGAAAGCGCAAAACAATACAAACATAAATACGACATTTGTTTGTAATAATGAAGTGGACTCGAGATCTAATGGATTTGAAAATTATGAATTAGATATTGAACTCGAGTCTCAAATACAATATATCAGAGAAATTATACCAGATTTGGGTCCCGGCTTTGTTCATAAATGTCTACTATTTTATAATATGGATAATGAAAAAGCATTGAATGCTATTCTTGAAGACACACTTCCGCCACAATTGGTTTCATTAGATAGAAATATGCAGAAAATTGTGAAACCAGAATCCGATAAAAGTAAAGACAAAAAACCTGATAACGACAATAATATAGCTAAAAATCAACGACAACTTACATGTAATAATGAATTTGTGTCACAATTACCTAAACTAATTGAAAATAGAGATAACATCTATAATGGAGATGAGTTCGATATCTTTCGCAATAAGAGCGTTGATTTAAGTCGAATTCATTTGGGAAAGAAAGACAATAAGATTACTAAAGTCGATGACACGACTAAAGACAAAATAATAACTTTACATCACATGGCTTTAGAAGAGGAACAGATACTCGAAGAAATGGGTTATAATGATGAATATGATGACACCTATGAAGATGATACTATCGACTTAATATCTGATAAATTAATGGATGAATTACAAGCGAATGACGATAAAAATGATACCAACGATGACAACATCAGTGATAATAACAAGAGTCACAGTTATAACCGAAACAACAAAAATAGGGAAATGTCTAGAAATAATCATAACTATTATAATAGAAAACCTAAACAAAATTTTAGGTGATTTTGTTGTTTTTATAATAATAATCAAAACTATAGTACAGGATATGTGATGAAACTATTTACCATAATATTAATATATTGCCTTAATTTTGCAAAACAATTTTTTCTAATTTAACAATGCTATTGATTGCTGTGATTTTAAAAACAAATATATTTTAGATTCAAATAATTTATAAATTTTTAAAAATTAATTTATTGTGTAATGGTTACAAAAATGAATTATTTTTAAATATCCAATTCATTGGTCAACTAAATGGTAATCGAGATATTAGAATACAATATTATGACAGCAAATGGTTTCGTGATTTTAATTTTATAAAATTAATGATTATTATAATAGACATTTTGATCTGTCATAAAATCACAACAATTATGTCTATTTATGTGGTTTTACAGTAAGTGTTAGTTTGAAAACCATTTATAAAGGATAGGAAAGTGTGACGTCTTGTCGGGCCAACTCAAGAAGCATAGGATCGTCAAAGAACTTATTAATACTGACGTCTTCACTCAAACCTTTTCGTCGTCTCGTTTTAATCATGAATTCACGGGCCAAATGTGGCGCTGGTTGTGGTTCAAGAGGTCGAATCACTATTGATTTGTCAAGAGGATCACCTGGAACAATCTATTGTACAAATAGATGCCAATTAGTATTTTTATCAAAATTTATTAGTAATAAATTAATACAAACCTGCCAGTGATGAAACACTGATAAACAAAATGCCTGTCCCTGAGTGTGAGTTCTAAGATCAGTCTCAAAACCAAATGAATCGATGGCTGGAATGAATGCTTTGACAGTATATAGAGGAGAACCGGGAACAGGTATGTCTTGAGTTATATGACCCCTGCGTTTAGCTAGAACTGTATAAACAGCTGACACACAATCAGCCGGAGCTAAAACTTCGACAAAATTGTATGGTTCCATAAGTCTAGGAGTTGCCATCAAGAATGCCGAATACGCCACTCGTCTAGACGTTGGAATTATTTGTCCGCCACCTCTGGCCGCAGGTTCTGAAGAAACAACGGCGTCTAAAATTTTGAACTTTACATTACGAATTGGTTCTTCACAAAGAGGTCCTTCACGTGAAGCCCATTGAAATCCTTGAACAATAGAATCCTTAACAGTAAGCAACAAATTTTTGTCTACTTCTGATGGAAGTGTATCGTCGACTAAAATATTAGGTCCACTTTGTTCGGGACCAAATGCCCAAATAGAACGGGCAGCCAATAAATCCCAGTCATATTTGGTCTGAAAAAATTCGCCCAATTTTTTACGGTTCCAATTGATCTGAACCACTTCGTTCTCAATGTCTTCAGCCAACCCTTTCTCAAGTGGTTCGGCAATCATTGTTAATTTATTTCTTTTTAAATAATTTTCATTTAGTTGTTTTCAAAACATTAAATACAAAACATATAATTAATACTTACTTTTTATTTGGTGTTTCGGCGAAACATTTGAGAGAAGAGGTTTCGACAACTGTTTCACAAAAAGAAACGACTGGATCGGCGACTTTGATGTCTTAATCAAGAAATAAAAACAATGACTACAAGAAATTTTAAACAAAATAATTGGGATAATAATTACCGATTTCTGAATACATTTTCCTCAAGTCATGCATAACACAATCCAAATAGAGTTCTCCCGTTCCTAATATGACATGTTCTCCACTTTCCTCTACTTTTGTATTAAGCAAAGGATAGGATTTATTGCATTTTCTCAATCCTTCCAACATTTTTGGTAACTCTGACGGGTTGACCGGTTCTACAGCTATTTTAATGACTGACTGTGTGTTAAACTTCAATGGTCTGAATATATACAACTCATCGTCATAATTAACATCAACTATAGTCGAAGTCTTAGTAATTGGTTGATCTATGCCTTCAATAAGTACCCAATTACCAGCGGGAACTCTATTAACTTCGATATGATACCTGGCCTCATATATCCAAAGTCGACCGACACGCATAATACGAGAGTCTTCCTCATCGAGTGACGAGTAATTTTCACCCAAAATCTTAACCTCTTGTTTGGCGTGAAGTGTTCCGCTTAATACGAGACCAAAAACATTAAATTGTGACGCATCTTGAGTTGCATATTGTTTAGTCGTATGCACCATAAGTGGTCCTTCAGAATCGTAATTAATCATTGATTCACTTAATGGTGAGTCAAGTGATCCTTTCCAGATATTTTCAATCTTATGTCTGGCATTTTTAATCGGAGACGGGATATGTTCTACACAAAGATCTATAAGACAATTAAAGTCACCCAAAAATCGGGAACAAACAAGTCTTAAAAGGGGTTTAATGTTTAATCGCATCTCTGTTTTAGATAATTTGACGCCTAATTCCTCCAAAACATTGGGAAGAGTAGAGTCAACATCACCGACAACTTGTGCAAAGAGCTTATACAACGGCTCTAAAATAAATTCGACAAAAGATCGCTGCGATTGACTATTGATTGGTTTTCGGCTAAATCTCCGACTATTGAAAGAATATAATTAAAAAGTTATAAAAACTTTGTTTAAATGATAAGTCTTACGTATTTTGATTGAAGAACATATCGCCCCACAATCGCTTTGCAAACTCATTCGGGTTAAAACCTCCTCCAAAGTGTTGACAATAAAGGTTAGCAAATGATTTCAAAGTAAAACAAACGCTGTGTTGAGAGCTCGCAAAACATACATTTCCAATAAGTGGTGATATAATTGGTGGCTCTTCGTCATCATAATAAGTCCTAAAAAACACTTTTCTTAATAAAAATTGGATCAATCTTTTTTTATGGTAACTCACGCAATAAGACTATTTATCTCATCCAAGATATGTCTTATTTTATAATAAGCATCATTTGGTGGAAGTTTCAACTCAAGTACCAATCGGTCAATTTTATTGATACACACAGTAATGGCCAGTCCTTCCTGAACGGCGTGTTTTAAGAGTCTTTCAGTGTTTAACATAACACCTTCTGCAGCATCAATGAAGAGGACAATACCATCGCATAATCTGATGGCTGCCGTTACCTCATCCGAAAAGTTGACGTGACCCGGAGTGTCCATTATGTTCATTAAGTATGACTTAGACTTCAAGTCCTGCATTACAACAGTTATTGGCGTTGACTTTATACTCACACCTCGTTCTTGTTCTGTGTATAAGATGTCTGTAAAACGAAACTGAAAACAAAATTATCTTAATATTTCATTCGCCGGTAAATAATTGAAAACTAACAGCTTTTCCTTCTTTGGATTTTAACTCGGGATGTGTTTGTTCGACAACACAATCAACAAAAGTAGTCTTTCCGTGGTGTAAATGTCCAACAAATGCTACGTTTCGGATCAGTTCTGTATTATCCATTAGGTCTGCCATAAATCTATATTCATATAACCGGCAATTAATGACAACAATCAGATGACAACATTTAAACAAAACATACTCTAAATCATAGGTAGTCTGCGGTAGATCTTGAACTTCATGTGAAAACTTTTTAAGTCTAACCGGTTGAACAATCGGTTCCGTCAGTGGCTGAGCGTCTTCTTCTTGAACAATAGTTTCCACGTCCGCACCGTAAACCTCCTCAGCTGTCGGATAATACTTTTTGTCTTCGTGTAAGACAACACTCATATCCATGTCTTCATCTTTTTGTTCGTCGGTAATCATTTGGTCCTAAAAAGAAGAGACAAATGATGTAAATTGATTGACAAATGCAGTCAATGTTGAACCTCTTCGTCGCGGTCTTCATACTCTTGGATGTCTTCAATGTGATCCCCGTCTTCATCGCCATCGGTGTCTTCATCGGACTCGATGTCTGGTCCGACATAATTGCCGAACTCGTCGTATAAATCGCCGTCCATTTCAATCAATCGATGAATTAATGATTAAATAATAACTGAATTATCGCTAAGTTTTGACTGTTTTTCAAAAAAGCATTTAATTTTCGTATTGTTTTGTATTTGCAGTCAATTAGTTGTGTTGTGTTGTGTTGTGTCCGCACATAAACTCTGTTACGTTTACTATGAGTTGTGATAACTATTGAATGTATTTATAATTATTTACAAAATAAAGACAAACATTGAGTGAATGTTTTGATAAATTTTGTGAACATTTAATGCCATTTAATATCACTTGAAATCAGTCTTAAAGTGTAAGACATATGATATGAGATGTCATTCATAAGGTTGTGTACAACGAGACTGATCGCTGGTCTTAACGGCGCCAGAAATGGTCACCAAATGTTGGGTATCCAGTCATTGGTCGTAAATCAATGTAAGACAATGATTGGCGTCGAGCGTATGGATCCCGAAGTGCTTAAGAATAAGCGGAAGCCGTGGCCATACAAGACTAAGCCGTACTATACATATTGGCATTACTTGCTTGATCTGGACATAACACCCGAACGATTCGATCAAAACACCAAAATTGTGGTCATTGAAGGCAATAAGGCCTCGGGAAAGGAAGTGGTAGCTCAAGCACTGGCCAAAGAGTTTGGACTTCTTTATCTGAAGGAACCGGATCTCGAAGAAATGTATATCAATCACAACGGCTTTGATTATCGTTCTCTCAATAAATACATCGATGAATTGGTTCATGCGATCGATGAGAAAATGTTTTACGAGAACCCGCACCACAAGGCTGTCCAATGGCTTAAAATGTTTTACTATTACCAGAGATTCGAGCAATACATCGACGCTTTGGTCCATTTGTATGCCACCGGACAGGGAATCGTTTTAGAGAGAAGTCCTTACAGTGACTTTGTCTTTACCGATGCTATGCATAAGTGTGGCTTTCTTAATGACGACAGTATGTATTACAGTAATTGTCATTTAATATCAATATAATTGTCTAATCGTCTTATTTATCAAAGCGCGAGACTTTTACTTTCGACTTCGACACAACACTATATATGATTTACAAAGACCTCATTTGGTTATCTATTTGGATGTATCACCAGAGGAATGTCTTCGGCGAATAAAAGCAAGAAATATTGTAAGTTATAATATTTACCGATTACGGTAATTAGTATTTTATTTACAATTAGTTTAATTATTATTTATCAACTAAAGCCACACGAAGTAAACTCAAAGGTGTTAACTAAAGAATATTTGCAAGAAATTGAAAATCAATACAAGAAACGCTATTTACAAGAAGCGTCCCGTCATTCAGAAGTTTTGATTTATGACTGGAATAAATACGGTGACATCGATGATGTAGTGGATGACATCGAGAAAATTAAATTAGATGAATGGGATCCACATTTAGAGAAATTTGAAGACTGGAACTTATGGGAAGAGGACGAGTTTGAGTTTTTTAGGAATTTATATACAAACAAAAAATATAAATTAATGCAAAAGTTATCACTTATGCCTGTATATGATGTGCCCAGTCTTTGGGTCGACGATGAAATTGGTGAACACAGAGATAAGATTTACAAACATATGGTTTGTATTGTTTAAATTAATTTGGTTTTTTTWWWAAAAATATCTAATATTATTATTCAATTATAGGTTCCCAACTATGGTATAACTCCAAGCTTTGATCCGTCAAAGACATCTTTATTAACTCGATTGCTTAGATGGCGTAACACATCCTATAAAGAGGATACGGATTTTAACTGTAGAGGACCTTTCTATTAGATTATTATTATTATTAATATATTGTTAATTAATTACCAATTTAGTTACAAATAAATGATTATATCAAATTGCAAATTTAATCTTAAGCTAACTATTATTAACTAATAATATTTAAATAAAATATAAATATATTAAAAGTAAAGTGAATTTTATTAATGAATAAAATAAGTTTRATGGCTTATTTCAAAAATTGATGAATGATTAGTAAATATACAAAAATGATTACCAATTATTTATTTTTTGTTAATTTTTGTGTTTATTTATATCTCTGATATAAGCCTTGATTTCATCAACTGTTGTATCATTGACTTCATGGCTGTTTTTATCAGTAAATAACTGCCAACTATTTGTCTGATTTGTTTCATATCTATTATTATTAAATGGTTTGCCATTAACTTTATAACCACTATCACTGCCATTATTCTTGTTGGATGAGCTGCAGCTGACATTAAACCAATAATCACATGATTTGATGTCCACATTAAAGAGTGTTCCGTTGGGACAAATGAATTTCTGATGATAATTATTTTTCTCGCAGTGATGGTATACCTGTATAATATACGGGTAGAATATTTTAAATATATAATGAATATTTTAATATTAAAACRCTGTATCTTTAGCTACTAATARACTAAATTCTGTTTATCAAAAATTAATAATTATATACAGTATGTATTAATAGATACTATTATACATATTAACTAATTTATAAAAATTTAATAATTATTGCATTAAAAAAATTTCAACTGAATTTATGCATTTAATTTATTAACTTTTAAGGTTATATGTAAAACGCTTGATATTATATAGTTATAATAATGTATAAAATAATGAGAGAGAGAGAGAGAGAGAGAGAGAGAGAGAGAGAGAGAGAGAGAGAGAGAGAGAGAGAGAGAGAGGAGAAATTAAAATTTAATATAAGATAGGTTTGTCAGATAATTTTTAATTTAATTATGTTATGTTAGGTTATAGTTATTGTGGGTTATAGCTAACTAATTGTACTATTTATGACTAAAAAATATTTACATTATATCGACTAATTTAATAATTTGAAAACAATTATCATAAAATATACCTGACATCCAAAATTAGTATCAGCAAAAAATCCCGGTTCACTACACGTGAAATTACTCAAAGCCGATGAACTATACTTAGGATAGTCAACAAACAACTGTCCATTTATTTGTGTTTTAATGGGTTTTCTCTTTCCTTCAAATGATTTGTCTTTAATATTATTTATCAGTTCATTAGGTCCATCACTAAACTTATTGATTTTTAAATTATTATCAAATGATTTTAATAAATTTGRTGCAGTTTTTTGTGTACTTTTTGTACGATTTGCTAAAAACCTTTTGGTATTTACTTGGATTGGATTTACTACTGATGGATACCAATTGTTATTATGATTTGTTGATAATTTTACCGACCAGTCCTTAATATCCGATACATTAAATTTATTTTCGGGCAAAATTGATGTTTTATTTGAGTGAAAGYTAGATTTGAAAATTTTTTGAAAATTGACATTTTGTTCATTTCTATCCAAATCCAAGAGATATTCTCTTTTGATCCCAGATTTGATGACAATCGGTGATACAGTTGTCGTTGATTTGTATGAATTATGTGATTGTTTACTGAAATGAAGAAACGGTGCTCTTTTGACTTCATTTATTCGCTTATTTTGTTTGCTTTGATTAAAATTTTTGTTTTTAATAATATTGTTATTAATTTGAATGGATTTTACGGGTTTCCAACCTTCTCTATAATTAACAAATATATTATTATTTTTATTTAATATCGGTTTGATGTCTGGTTTTTGTGTAGTATATGTTGTAAATGAGTTGATATGTTGGGACTTATGGTTATTATAATTAATATGTGGTTTGCTATTCATTTCAATCAAATGATTTTTTACAATATTTTTCAAAACTGGATCTTCTAATTGTTCTTCAGATAAAAATGGGTTTAAATCTTCATAAGAATTGAATTCATTTTCAAATTTATGTGAATATATTTGTGGAGACATTTGAAATGTGGGCGAAATGGCATAACTTGAGGTCAAGGGATAATCCGATTGAATCTCATATGAAAAGTCAGTGGGATTTACATTGAAATGTTGGTTATATTTAGAGATTTCGTCTATCATTGTTTGAGATGGCATTACATTTGAATTAATTTCTTTATTTTCATTAGGATTTTGTTTAAACTTAAGACTTATTGAAGGCCAGAGATTACATAACAATGAACGGCCCAATAGATTGTTAGAAAAGGATTGTTTGCAAAAATCTGAAGACCGGCTGTTCGCTGCTTTTGAAAGCTTTAAATTTAAAATTTTAATCAATTATATTAACATAACTTGATATTAACTAATATTATGATATGATATTAATGTTTTCAATTTAAAAAATTAATTATAACACTTACAACAAAGCAATAATATCCAAATTGCAAATTAAGTAAAATACCTAAATTGATAAATTAAATCATTATTTAATGTTATACTGTTAATAATTTACATTCATTAGCTAATTATTTTATTAAAATTTTTACAATTATTAATTTATAATGATTTATAAATTAATGTTTAATTAAGTGAGTGATATTAAGCAATTAACAACTATACATTCATATATAATTTAATACCCATTTAAATATAAATAGTATCAATTTGATACATTAATCTTATTAATATTATGAAAAAGCAAATTATAGCATTAGTTATAAAAAAAAAGATTTATGAATAACTAAAATTTAACTAAAAATAATTATTATTGAAATACAGTATATTGTGTAATACAACTTTTATGCTTTGTATGTATTGATARTTCAAAGAGATATCTGTATCAGAAAGTTAAGTACAGTACAAGTAGTATATATTTTTTTAATTAAAAACTTTAATATTTGTTTTGATAACATTGACACTGAATAGAGAATATTATCTCAATTGATGTAATGTAACTCATGTGTAAATATACAATATTTTAGAATTTATATTGATATGATTACTAGTACTAATACAAACATAATTTTAACATTTTTAACCAATTGTTTAACAAAAATTATTCATTTATTTATTGACAATTAAAAATCTAGCAAAATATTTAACGACATCAAAATACAAAAATAAATATTAATTTTAACATTGATTGTAATCAACAGTTTTGCGGTGGTATCAGTAGTGACAACATTAAGACTTTAATCAAATAATCAATTATTAGGTATTATATGACAATCGATGAAATTATATATAATAATAATACTACTAATATATTTTAATAATATATCAATAATGTTARCGTTTTTTAAACTTTTACAATTTAAACATCCTTATTTATATTACAATTTTTTTATCARAGTATGATATTATAATAATTGCTGTTTTAATTTTACAACAAAAAAAAAGATTTATTGATAGCAATATAATTATATAGAATAAACAATTATAACATTTTTGAACCATTTTTTTATCAACAAAGCTCATAATAGACTAAAAAATATATGATAATACATAATTTTAAACTATAAATATACATAAAAATATAATACAAAAATTAAATATACAAAAAATATTGTAGAAATGTTATACAATATGTTATACATAGTACAATAAACAGTATTAGTAGCAAACAATTATCATATTTAAATTAGGAGTGGATACTTAAAATTTTATTGTTTTAAATGTAAATTAATGTATAAAATAATTAAATAAAAACTATGATAAGTTATGACCTTTGTTTAAATATAAAGTAGTTGTTTTAATGACACTAAATGTGTATAACTATAAATTATATGAAACTACAATTATAAACTAAACTATAAAATTATAAAAATAGGATCACACATACAATTATGACCACACAATCATAAGTAATCATACTATGAGAAAGTGTATGTTAATTAAATTATTCACTTTTATGCTTTAATTTTATGACTTAAAAATACTTTTAAATATATAAATTATTTAACTTTTATTAAACAAATGGTAAATTGATATTTCTTAATATTAATACAAGACATGTGATGAAACTATTTAGCATAATATTAATATATTGCTTATTTAAATACAAGTTGTTTAATTTATGTAATATAATAAATTCATTAATTTATCATGCTAACCATACATAGATTATCTATCTTATATAGTGTAATATATATTATAACACTATTTAGAGATATTAATATATAAATAGTTTGCCTTAGTTTTGATTCAAAACTTTTATATATAATATTTATGTTTGCAAATTATATTTATTTTTTATTCAAGTATAAAATGATAAAACTTGTGAAAATGATGAACTATATTATATTCATGACCAGATCTATATTGATATCATTTAATCTGATATATAATTCAAATAAAATCTAAAACATTGTTAGGTTGTTTGATAAAAACTTGTTTGTTTTAAATATTTTATATAACTATCAATTTTTAAAAAATATATAAAACTTGAGATTTTAATAAATGTTGAATGTGATAAATTTACTATTATAAATTAATGTAAACTAYAAAGTTGTTGGTTATATAAGTTATATAAAAGATATTTAAAATCTTTTATCGTTAAAAACATTTTTAATAATGATTTGATATAATAATATATACATTATGTAGACTAAAACGTGATAAAACCAATTAATCAAAGATATTTTATTATAAAACAAATTTTTAGATCTTTCTATTAATAAGTTTTTAAATAGTTTTAGTCTAATAATATAGGAAAATATTATACTAAATATGTGTAATGTATGCAAAAAATTATATACTGCACATATTAAGTAAATATTTATTATGTTATATATAAGAAAAATATATAATAAAATATTGTTTATTTAGTTATTTAATTGTTAAATTATAAATTTTAATTACTATGATTGTTAATTATATATAAAAGTATGTAAAAGTATAAATTTAAATAATTACAAAATAAATCTACAGTTTATCCATTAATATTAATAATTTATTTCAAAAATATTTTTTATAATTAGAATTTTAATAGATAAAATATATAAAACTTTTTGAAATTATTTAAAATAAAAATKTTGATTTAATACTTACAAATTTTAATATAAGTGATTGAATCCATTTATAATAATCCGAGTAATGTTAGATAATTCTCAATCATAAAATGTCAATTGTATTACTATTAAAGCAATAAAAGATTTAAAAGCATTTGTAAGCTTTTTTACAGATTTTTGTGTGATTTTAATAAACGCATCAAAAGTATTGGTATTTTGTTTAAAATTTTTGTGACTGAAATTTCTGAAGACGAGAGAAGGCGTTATATAASACAACAATAAAATCAAATCATAAAAACCAGTTTTCAACTAATTTTGATTCAAAGGATGTTCACTAAAAAAAGTCTATAATAATTGGGTCATAATTCGTGAATATCATGGGATAGTTTGATATAACTATAGTAACAAATTAGTAGGTATGAGAAACATAATATAAATTAAATTCATTGTATGATAAAAATGTAAATTATTTTGTTGTCTAAAATATGATGATAACAATAATAACTTTCACCGCAATCACTAAAAATATATATCACTTAAAAATAACAAAGTGAAACAACTATTACTTTCGCACCGTTAGTTTGTAACTTAATTCTCATCTAAAATTAGTTATTCATTAGCCATCAAAAGTTATCAGATATTAAATTAATTTAATTAAGTGAATGTCAGATATATTTGGAAATATTTCAACAATAAAAAATAAATTTTTCCAAAAATAAATTTTTTAATATCCAAAGTTAATTTATTTAGACAGTGAAAACTTATATTGTATATCATCTCTAATTTATGATTAAGTTTTTAAAATAGCAGTTAATAAATTGTAATAAAAATATATCTCAATGTTTATAAATAGTTAAATAAGTTGCATAATTAATATATACTGTAAAATGTAAATTATTTATACTTTGATTAGTCATAAAATTTAAAACACAAGTTATTGTTCACATTAATCATAATTTAATTTATTGAATGCATTGTTAACCTAAAAGAAGTTTAACAAACTTGTGGTCAACTAATGATTGATTGTCTATATTTTGGTCAAAAAATTGAGTGAAAGATTGAAATACAAATTCAATAAAATTAAAATAATATTAAGATATTACTCAATCACTGGATACTCTTCGAGACCATAGAAGTATCGCCAGTATATCAATAATATATTTATAACATTTTAAATTAATTTATGGACTATTTTTACAAAATAATATATAAATACAATTAATAATATTTATTTAAATACATTTATTTTATAAATACTGTACTTATGAGATATAAAGTATAATTATAATAAAATAAAAATACAATTAAAACATTAATTTAATATTAAATCGGTTAACAAATTAATATAAAAGTTGTGTTAATTTTTTTACTGTAATTTAAATATATTTTAAGTATAAATGTCTTTAAAAATGTTAATTTGAATCATATTTTTATAGTCATTAATAATCCTAAAGAAGACAATGACGTCATTCATGGATAAGACAAACAGTAAAACAATCATTGATTGAGTGATGCATTGAATTGGTGTTGAATTTAGTGATAATCGGTGTAATTATCCATCAATTTTAGTCATGTCTTATGTCAAACAGGTCTGGGAGTTAACAGCGATGACCGACACGGAGGACATGGACTTTGTTTACGCCGATTGCGACCAACTTTCCAATGAAATGGCAGAACTATATTCATATACTGAAGAAAATGAATTTATTGTCAATAAAGGGATTTTTGAAGAATTGATGGAAGACTTTGGTTTTCCGTTGAAATGGACACATATGTCACCGCAACAGAAGAGTAGAGCTATTGAGCGGTTGTCTGAAGGAATCGAAGTGTCGAACAGAGGCCGTCGTATGCGATCAGTTCGGGCCATACTTTACCTAATTCAGGGCAACTTCGGCGAGTGTCTCACCATTGATGAACAGCCAAAGTATTGTCGACAAAATGTATTTTTGTTGTATGAGTCGGGACTGTTCGCCACATTTGTACAATTGCTTCACATGGAGATCGATAGCGCGTCCAACACTGTCCTCAAAAAATCGGCCGTAAGTTTGGGTGATTCGTTAGACTTAAGGATTATTTTATCGGTTTTATACACATTTGTGGCCGTAATGAATGTCAATGAAGASGCAGACAGCGATCACTTTAAAGAACTTCAAAAACAATTTATTGAAGAGTTGTCACAACCGAATGGTAACGAATTGTTGGTCATTACTCTATTTCAGATGATAACCAAATTTTGTACCCAAACGCCGCCTCCTTTTCCTATCAAAAAAGTATTGCTTTTGTTATGGAAAACATTAGTCATAACTCTTGGAGGTATTGAAGTCTTAAGAAACACAAAGAATCTCTACAGAATCAGATGTGGTTTGAGTTCAATAACTGATGACACACTAGAAGTGACTCGACATATGAGAGCTGCCTCTCCTCCAGCCAGTGCTACCGATCTTATTGAGGCTCAACAGCAAAGAAAAATGAATCGTCCGTTTAAAAGACAAACTGTGGTCAAACAGCCCTCAATGACTGGTGACGAGTCAATTGGTTATCAGGACTTTGAAGCAAATAATGAGTCAAATGATGAAGAACTTATGTCAGTTGATGAAAGAATCAGTTCATATAATAATGAACTAAACAATGAAAAAAATGGAACTCTTGTTACAGACAGTGAAAGAGAAATTAGAAATAATGCGACAAATGATGAGAAAGACGGTGAGGGACGTCCCGGATCACCGCGACCTAAAACTTTGCCGAAACCAAGATATTCTGATGAAGTTAATGAAAGTCATCCAACAGCGCCACACGTGAATCAAATGAGCGAATCGGGTATAGATTTACCACAATTACACAAAGGCTTGCCTTGGGTTCCGAAAGTGAGACAAAAAGACATCGACATCTTCTTGGATCACACAAGACTTAAGTTTGTTGGATATGTACTTCCAAACGATCGAACAACGACTGCAGGACTTCCTGAGCCTATTCTTGAAGGTATTAAAATACTTGAGCGACACGTCTACATCTCATTGTCTGAATTGCAAATGAAAAGAGAAGAAGAACTTCACAAATATCCACTGACTGTCAAAGAATTGGATGAATTGCCGCTCACTTCAAACGCAGAGATTTTATATTATGCAATGCTTCCCAGTTTACCGCAGTATATGATTGCTTTGCTTAAAATATTGTTGGCGGCGGCGCCCACTTCTAAAACAAAGAATGATTCGCCAAATATTATGTCAGATGTATTGCCTGAAGAGATGCCGATGACAGTTCTTCAGTCGATGAAATTAGGTATTGATGTGAACCGACATAAAGAGATAATCATAAAAGCCGTTTCAGCCATACTTTTATTACTTTTAAAGCATTACAAACTTAATCATATCTATCAGTTTGAATATATTAGTCAACAACTAATGTTTGCTAATTGTATACCATTAGTATTGAAATTTTTCAATCAAAATATATCGTCGTATATAACCTCTAAAAACACTATATCAGTGATAGACTTCCCCACCTGTGTTATCGGGGAACAGCCCGAGTTAACCGCTGATACCCTAGAGTTTGGCGAAACACAGGCCTATTGCTGGAGAAATATGTTTAGTTGTATTAATTTACTTCGCATTCTTAACAAACTAACAAAATGGAAACACTCGAGGATTATGATGTTAGTGGTGTTCAAATCGGCTCCGATACTCAAGAGAGCACTCAAAGTACGGCACGCAATGTTACAGTTGTATGTATTGAAACTTTTGAAAATGCAGGCAAAATATTTGGGAAGACAGTGGAGGAAATCCAATATGAAAACTATGAGTGCTATCTATCAGAAAGTTAGACATAGACTGTATGTTATATATTCATCAATTGTTTAATAAATTATTAATAAACAAACTTTTGTTGTTATATTTAGCAACGATGATTGGGCCTATGGTAATGACTTGGATGCCCGTCCCTGGGATTTCCAGGCAGAGGAGTTCACACTTCAGGTATTTATTGAACCACTTTTAAACTATAATCAGGAACTTATCCTAAATGTGAGAATTTATTTAAATTATAAAACTAATATTGCATTTTAACTGTAATATTAAATAGGGGTTATCTTTTATATTTTTGCGTTTTTCTATTATTATGCATAGATATTAAATATATCCATTGCATGATATGATAGAGAATTGTTGCATTTGTTTTTTAAAATTAATTTATTAATTGGATTATGTAATAAATACTACATTTATATGAAAGTGATATACAGTATATGAAAATAATTTAATGTTTATAAATTTTATTCAAATACAAGTTTGCATTAACTAATTAATTATTGTTTTAATAATTAATATAATTATCTTTTAATCTTATTATTGGAAAAGTCAACTTGTTAATTTTGCTATTTATGAATAGTAATAATTTATTTTGATAATTGAACATTAATTAATAATTATGTGTTTATTACAGTTATAACTTACAATTGATTATATTATAGGCTAATATAAATGGTTTTCATAATCGTCGTTATGAGAAGCAATGTTCAACAGGTGTGTCTCAGCCACAACTCTTGTCCAATCCATCGGTTACTTCGGCTAATTCTCCTTCAAATGCCATTTCATTGGACGCTATGTCAGCAGATATCTTGCAATCCGTTGATAATAATTTTCTATCAATACTTAGCAAAGAAATTGAATTAACAAAAGAGTTTAAATATAATTATGAGACATGGCTTGAGAGGGAAGTCTTTCAATTCAATATAGATTGGGATCAGCTTTTATTCGCAACGAATACCATTGAAACATAAATTGTTTTTTTAGTTATTTAATGCAATATTTTTTTATAATATTAATATCAAATATTTCATTTATTTTTATTTCATATTATGTGTGTGCACTATAATATTTATTACCTAATATTATCAATAATGATAATGAATTATTTAATGATATATTTCGTAAGTATTTTTTATAATATCATAACATTGTAAACCTTTTGTTATTTTGTAAACATTATATTTATATAGTTTATGTTAAATCTAAAAAAGACAATTACCGTAGGTTAGAAATATTTGAAATTTGTTTTATTATCGGTAACAATAATTTATACATTGTATATACTGTATGTTTTTGAATTGTTTATTGTAATTTTCAACGTAAATATGATATACTCATTTATAAACTTATTATTACAACAAAAAATGTAATTAAAATTATCAAACATGAAATACRATAAAATAAAATGTGAAATTTTTTTTATTTAGTATYATTTATGAAAAAATTGAATAATTTATTATTGAGCCGAAAATAGGAATGAAAAATAACTGGCGATATATTTAGTGATAGCGTTGTCATCGGCCTTTCCCTTAGCTCGTGTCCCCCGAGGAGGAAGTGATTTCTTGCAGATGACACCCGTCGGTGGAAAGAAATTTCGCGGACATATCATTGTAGTGATGCCACCAAACGCTTTGTCAATAAACATCTTGAAATTTTTTTCACTGTCGGCCCCACACGACTGACCAATCATATTATCGGTACAGTCTTCCCACGAGTTATGACCACAACATAAGGTATCGATTTTTTCATCGATTTCTGTCCTATTTGTTGCAAAGTCCAGTGCAGACAAATAGTTGTTATTGCAGTTGGATTTGTGCTCAGATGTGGCCAACACTTTGTTGTGAATACAAACCGAATGCTTCAAAAAATCTATTAAAAAAAAAGATTTATTAAATTCATCAGATATGACATTTGATTGTATTTAGTGAATAATTTAACAAAAAAAATTTATAATAAATTATTTATAGACATTATATAATATAAACAATATTATTATTAAATTTGATTTATGTTTTGAAAATTGATTGCTTTATTATAAATAATTGAATGCATACTCTCTCGAATTGGTCCGGAATTGCAATACTGTTTAATTGTCTGCGAGAAGTGTTGACCAACAAAATCAAAGACTTCCCTTTGTAATGGTGTACCACATCTTTTGATAAAACTTTTGATACATTTGATTACTTCATCAACTGTTCTATAAAATAGTATTWWTTTATTTTTGTTTAATGAAAATTCAAAATAATTTTTTGAAATAATAAATTTTAATGAAAAGATAATTTATTAATAATTTATTAAACATTATTTTAAATTTAATATAAATAAATAGGCAAAACATACCCACAAATCTTGTCGAGACCTTCGGTTGTAGTGATAATGATTGTAGGATTGGGTCCTTTAGTGATCACTTGAATCTTTTCAAGACATGAATCAATGTCTTTGAGATGACATAATTGTTGATCACTTCTGTTACGATTTCCTCGACTTCTACTTCGACTTCGGGATCGTTGGGCTTCACATTTGTAGACACAGAGTAAGGTTGCAAAGCCTCAAAAATATATTATATCATTATATTATTCAATTATTTTTTATAAAATTACTTACAAATATATTTTATTAAATTCATTGTTAAATTAGTATATCTAATAACTAATTTTAAAAAGTGAAATTTAAAAAACTTAAAAAATGTCTAAATTTTAATATTAAAAATTTTTAAATAATAAACAACTTTATTGAGAAATTACTTTTTAAAAACTAAACTCAAAATTCATGTAAAATAATGCTTTTAGTTAGCGGTAAAAGTCGGAAAAGTTAGATAAAACAATACAAACTTGTTATTTAAGATACTTATTAAAACTTTCTAATTGTGATAAAAATGTATATACTTTCACCTGTTGTGGTAAAAGTGGATAAAAAAAGCTATAGATTTTTGGAAGAAAGGGAAGGGAATGGAAGGGAAGTGCGAATAACCCTAAATGGGGACAAACCTCGAGTTCATAGATCCAAATGTTCTCCATTTGATGTCAAAAACAAGTCTTGACTCACTTTCCAGTGACTATTCCTATGATTTTGAATCTCTCACTAAACTATATAATCATTAATAATAATGTGTTAACAAATTGTTTTATAAATACACTGTATATATAAGTTATAACTTGTTATATAATAATRTGAGACACAGAATATCTATACCTAAGATCTGAAAACATGAATAAACTGTTAAAACTGTTTGAAGTAATGTTGAGTTTTATTTAATAAATTGTTGGATCAATGCATTTGTCGCAGCTTTCGTAAGATATACACTATATATTGACAATATCTAAACAAACAGATAATTATATGTTAAAAATATAACTTATTTTATAATATTTGTTTATTGATATCAAATCTGTCAAAAATGCTCTTTAAGTATGAGTTTATTTTTGAAATACTGACCCAATTGTCTAAATGATTGAAAAAAGATAAGTTTCGCTTTTATTTAATGTTCAACTTTTACTTATATTATACAATAAAACCTGCATTTTGTTTCTATACATGTGATAAGTTACTAAACAATTTTTATTTTATTTATAATACTGTATAATATTCGTTCAAAATTATATTTATCATAAAATTTAAAATAGTGAAATCAATATATTTATCAACAATAAACTTTTAGTAGTTACGGTATTTGAATTTATTCAAAAATCACAAAATGTATAAAATTTAGAAAAAATATAATTATAAATAAGGAATTGTTTTTTATTTGAAAAAATTAATGAAAATTAAATGCAAAAAAACAAGAATTATATAATAAAATTAGTACATATTTTCGGCATTAGAAGTTCTGGGAGTTTTAATTTTGTCTAAATTTTTGGTAACCATATCGTGAAGAGTGGCGTAATGGTTACGAAGTTCAGCCACAACTAGACGTAGACTTAGAAACTCTTTTTCGTCGATCTCTTGGATAGTTCTTCTGTAATCCTCCTATTTTTTAGGATAATAATTATATCAATATTTCAACACAATTATTATCAGATCAATAATACAAACCACATGCGGATATTTAGCCACTTTTGCTACAGTTTTAGCTCTCGATAGGAAATACCGGGACATTTGATCAAAATAGGCGGCCGCCTCCCCCTCCACTGTCCTAATTTCACCCAACGTGTCTTCCTATCGGTAATATATTTAATTAGAAAACTTTATTATTTKCAATATTAATAATACAGAAAATTTAAACAATACCTGAATAGAGACACCAAAATTGTTTCCGTCTTCAATACGTGGAATAAGAAACAAAATCCACATTTTTAACTAAATTTAAGAAAAAATGCCAACAATTGATATTTAAGACAATATAAACATATTAATAACGGACCAAATTTGCGTCTTCGACCAATTGTCTGATCAATGGCTTAACCAATTCAATGAGTTGAACCACATGTTTATTACAAGGCGCCATACCGTTGGGCAACACTAACACTTTGGTTCCCGATATGCCGTCGCAATCGATGGCCTCGTATTTCCTTTTTTTGGACTATAAATAATTTATCAAAATATAATTTCATTTATCATTAAAATCATCTCTTTATTAGTCATTCAAGACATTTGTTAACATACGGGTAAATCTCCGTCGGAGTGATCTTTATGATTGTTTATTGAATCAGTTGGTGTGGGCACAGGTATGTTAATATCAGTGCAGATGTCCGACAGTTTCTCAATTGTAAACTTTGCGCTCTTCAGCAGTAATATAAAAAAAGTGATCAATTAATCAGTGATTTATGACATTTAATGACATACATTGAGAAGTGCTTGTAATTCAAGTATCTTTCGGGGAAATGTCTTCAACACCAATGTCTCGGCCTCCTTCTTGATCTGCTCTTTAAACTCGTGGACCTAATTATGACATCAATCATCAGTCAAAAGCCGAAGATATTGTTATCACAAAACATGGTTTTATTTCGACCATTAATTTGGTTACCTCTTTGTTGACATCATTTGCCATTATATTAGTTATGAATTAATAAAATAAAAAATAAATAATTTAATAAAATTAAATGTTTTAAATTAATTTTATAATAATTATAATGTGATTATAAATGTGTGAAATAATTGCAATGAATTGATTGATATATCAATTATATGTTAAACACGTGTTAACACTAAAACACAATTACAATAAAATCGTTTGCCTTTTATTGGACCAAAAAATAAGCGACAAATGATTAGCGCTTTATTTGAAATATGATTGTAATTAATAAATACTTTTATTTATATTTTAAAAATAATGTTAAATAATAATAATAAGTTGTTTTTATACATTAATTTTTAATAAATTTTAATATTTAGTTTTTTTATTTGTTTGTTTTGTTTCAATTTTCATTGAACTCTCCAATTGATCGACGATTTTGTTGAGTTTTTCAATGTCTTTAAGTGTTTGATTTAATTCTAAACTATCAGTGCTTTGATTATCCGGTGAACAGGTATGTCGTCTATCATCTGATATGTCTTTTATATAAACTTTATTTTTAATAGTAGTCTCTCTTAATCTTAAATTTTGAGTCCAGTAGTCACTGGTCGACACTTTTTTTAAGTGCATATTAACCATAATTGCGATTATAAATGATAAGCCGATATAAATGTATTCAAATAGCATTACAATGAATACATCCAATGAGACTTTCTTGTGTTTAACTAATGAATAAATTAGTAAATACAGTATAATATTACTATAATTAGAAAATAATAAAATATATTCCTATTTTGTATACTTGGAAATGCAAAGCTCAGGGATGTTATGGTCACTGTTATTATAATCCATAATAAGTTTAATATGAGATACAATTTAATTATAAAAGGACTCCATTTAATACAAACGATATAAAAGTATAACAAAAGTGGAATCCAATTAATTGTATTTAAAATAAACAACTCTTTATATAAATTATTATAACTCCATTGAATTAAATTTAATGTTGAATTAATTATGTAAATTAAACAATATATTATATTTAGTATAATAAGTATTATATTAATATAAATCAAATTTTGAATTGACTTTATATTCAATTTTATATTTCTTTTAAGATATTTTAGTTTTTGTGTTTCAAACATTGTATTGCAATTAGTTTTGTATTAATAGTATTTAAAAAATATTATTTCAAAATAGTTGTTTTGAATAACATTCATCTCGTGATTATTTTTATTTTGTATCCTTTTAAAACTTATCTAAGTTATGATATTAAATAATTTTTWAATATTTATTTCTAAACTAAAGTTAATTTCTATTATTGAGACGATTTTTATTATTTTTAAACATTAATTAAAAATAACTAAAGGTTAAAATGAATTGAGTGTCGGTTCACTTTTTAAATGCAATTTAAAAAGTATAAGTGATTTATATGTTGGTTATATATTTTATTTAAAATTATATCAAATATAATTAAATAATACATTAAATTATTGTTTTAAAATGGATAAATACTAACAAATTAATAAAATTAATAAGTTATAAATATAATATAAATTTACAATATGATATTAGTTTATGATTGAGATAATTTACAAAAAAAGTTTTATAAAAGACTATTTTTATACAAATCATATAAATATCATAATTTCGTAAATAAAAGTAAAAATTTCAATTCAAAATAATGCTACACAATTTAGTACACAATTAATTAAATGCAAGTTTTGCTTACATGTGTTTTTAATAATATCTATAAGTTTAACAATTAATTATTATCCATATTCATAAATATAATTAGTTAAAAAGTTTTTAAAAATATTTCATTAATGTGCTATCTATACAATACATTATCTAACAACAAAATAATGTGAAATGTAATTAACTATTTAATAAAAATCTAAACTTAACAAAAGTATTTTAGTGTTATATATTGCAAATATATATCTAATACAATAATTTAATAATATATATTTATAGACAATTACGGTAATGCACTTTTTTGTATGTCATCATCTATAAGATGTTTTATTATATATTATTTTATTAAATATATTATTAATAGAAATAATTATAATATATAAAGATATTGTTTGTATTTTTAAACAATCAAATAATCTATAATTTAAAATAATTATTACATTTTTATTTATTTATTGACAATATATCAAATAATTCATTGATGTTAATAAGATTGATTTATTATTATTATTTTAATTTATTATTAATATAGAAAATCTTTTGGTAAGATTTTAATGTAAAACATTTGGACTAAAAATAATTGATTTATTGGTCGAAATTCTGATTTAAAAAATGGCGAAAAGCTCTTAAACGGCATAATTTGAAGTCATATATAATCCGTTATTGACATAAACATTAATACCATTAGAGTATTGCTCTTTTGGCTTATTTTCATTGATGCGATGCCAAGGATTTTGTAAAATAAATTTTAATTGTTTTTTACTTATTTTGTTGGTCTTAGAGTTGACCGCAAAGATATCGGAGGTCTGACTTTGTCGTTGTCGACGACGTCTATGCTCTTCGCGTGTATTTCTTATATATCGATATGACATATAAAAGGCTAATAAACCGATAAATACTGCCAATACTATGAAAGCCTTTCCAGTCTAATATTTAATTAATTTAATAATTAATTTTAAAATGTTATTTATTTATGAGTAGTTAGTAAAACTTGTTTATAAATTATATTGAATAATTAATATTGAAATACAAGTATTATATTAATAAATAATTAAATGTAATGTAATTAATAATTTGATATTATAAGCGGTAAATAAATATCATGACAAATATTATTAAATATGGATCAGTTATAAACATATAGAATATAAGCTTTAACTTAAATAAGCTATATTTTCATAGTAATAAAAATTCAATTTCATGCAAAAGTATCATAAATTATAAATTTTATCATTTGTTTTACGCATATTATTTAGACTAATAATATACCTTATATTGAATTTCATTATTTTGTGAATTGCTTTCAATAATACCGATAACGATAACCATTAGAAAAATGATGGGCAATACAATGATAGACACCTTAAATAAATATTGTGAGCACCCGTTTAAAATTATGCCGTCCATCGCTAAATCATAATCATCTCCGGTGTCTTCAACTTCACAATCATAGACAACCATAACATCGTTAACAATACATTCGCTATCATTTGGGTTAACATCCGATGAGTTATTCTTTGGTGAATATATTTGTTGTTCTTCACAGACATTGCTATTGATTTGGGGATCCATTTGTAATAATTATATATAATTTAAATGATAAGATTAACATTAAAATGTATTTATATTATTGAATGTCTGCAAACATCTTAACATATTTTGAGCACAACTTCACAAACAATCAAATGTATTACAGATTCTGCAGATTCTGTCACATCTCTTCATTGTTGGGTTGCTATAGAAATAAGGCTTACATAACATCTATTGAATACTTATTGAATACAATGAATAAGTTATATCATATAACCAAACATAATATTACTAATATAAATGTTATTTATTTCAAAAGCTTTATGTCAACAATTCTCATCAAATTCATTACTATTTCATAAATTAATATTTGTTTTTATAGCCACTCTATCCAAAACATAAATTATTTATTTTTCTCAACATTTCATTCATTTTTAAAAATTTATAATACGTTTTGATTTTTAGAACATTTTAATAAGTTATTTAAAACTTGAAATTGATTTTTTGATTTACTATTTTAAAACTTCCGATTGTTGACAGTTTTTTGTCCATTTTAGCTCTCAAAATGGTTATATTTATTAATGACAAAAACTAAAGTACATAAAAATTTTATAAACTTTATATTTTAATTTTTTAATTATATTAAAATAATTATATTTTTAGATTATTATTATATATGATATTATTTAATTTAATATCATACTCTTACATTCAATATTACATATTATAGTCATATGACTTATATTGCATTTACATTCAATTCATAGATAATCTTATAAATGATTGAGAYATTTGAATACTAATTGACTATTTGTGTAAAAATCCGGTGACTATTACATACAATGAATATACTGTACTATGAATACAGTATATCCCTATAGATAACTGTTAAGAAAATAGTCTAAATAGTGGAAATACATATATTTATTAAATTTAATATATTACTAAATTAAAAATACATTTAAAATTTTATTAATTATCAATTTATAGAAATATTGGATAAAATCAATTGTGTTTTAATCAATCCATTCATTGAATTCAATATCTTCGGGACTTTCTTCAGAACTATCAGACATATAATCAGTCATTTGGTTGACTCTAAACCTGTTTTGAAGAGCTTGTGATAAAGCGTTTGCTAACGGATTACAAGTATTAGAAGTATTTTGCAATTCATTATCTCGTTTTACATCTTTGATTGTTTTTAAATTAATTCCTCCGCGGATTTGGTCCATAAGTGCATTTCTGTTGCAATTACTTTGATTTTGGTGTTTATTTGAATCATTTGTTGTTTTACTTTTAGACTCATCTGGTATTGATTCAGTTGAAAGAGGAGGCGGTGGAGGGGGTGGTGGAGGTGGAGGTGGAAGTGAACACAAATTAACTTCTATTGAAGAGTCCAAAGATTTAATACTAGTTTTTTCATTACACGCTTTATTCACACTATCATCAGATTTAGTAAATTTATTTATTTCATTGTTATTATTAGATTTGTTTGAAGTTATTTCATTAATCTATAAAAAAAACATAATTATAAAAATAAACAGTAATTAATAATTAATTATATAATACTATATAATATTTTAATATAAGGAATATTAAAATGATTATTATTATTATCAAAATACTTGTGACATATCCTGAACGGCCGCTTGAATACCTCCGTGAGTGTCAATAAAATCAAAAATGAATTTTCTTGTATTTACATCTGTAAGTTGTTGTACTGACACTCCGGCCATTCTGAAGAAGTTATCCAATTTGGGATCAATTACATTGAAATCAAAGCCAGTGGTAGGACTCCATCCAATATGTTGAATGTGTTTAAAATTTGTCGGCAAAGAAATCTCCAATTTATCAATTGTCTGTATTTTTCGTTTAGATCTTCTTAGAGATGGAAAATTAAATGAACTTTTTCTTGAATCCCTCAGCGATTCCATTGACTTTGAAGTATTATTTGCCAAATTAGACACAACTTTCAATAGATTATTGCTTTTATCAGTCAATGAATTTCTTTTATGTAAATTATTGTCAGATATTTGTTTTGATGCAAACATTTTATGCAAAATAATAATTTTTTGTTGAACCACATTATTAAAGCTTAAGGCATCGATTTCATCGACAAAATTAAGACCAACCATACAATCGTGTCCTTCAAAACTATGAAAATAAGATCTCAAACAAACATATTTGATATTCAAGTATATCTCTTGTTCCCAAATAATACTTTTTTCATCAAAATTATATAAACGGAAATAATATGATCTCTTTTGGTTACTCTTTATGAAACATATGACTCCATTGGCCAAAGATTTCCATTTATTATGATTGGGAGGCGAACTCACTAACAGTTGAATGACACCCATCGATAGGGAGGTTTCACCCTTTTTAAGCAATGATAAAATTGATTGATTTTCGGTTTCATTTAATAATAGTGAAGTTTTGTTTGATGACTTTGCCATTAATTTGTTAATTATACAGAAAAATTTTAATTACAATCACAATGAATGCTCAATTATAATTTATATTGTACTGTACTGTACTGTACTGTATAATGTATAAATCTAAATTAAAACAATAAATAAACATTTTTATAATTTGAAAAATATACAACAAAACTGTTAAAATTGGCTTTTATGGCAATTCCTGTAAATTACTGAAACTGATATCGGATGGGAAAATAAAATCAATTATTGAGTTAACAAACAAACAAACTTCAAAAACAGTGATCACATTCAATGTAAATGTGAAAATCTCAAATTTATTATTCAACAATCAATTATAATGATAATATTATATTTATATAATTACATCACATAACTTAAATTACATATGATTCATACACAACACAACAGAGATTAGATTCAACACTTACTTCAAAAATAAWAATTATAAAAAACTAATAATTTATCAAATATCCGGTAAATATTTTTTTTCATTTTTTCAAATGTTATCTCATAAATATATAGTAAATAATTTAATATTGGTTTATAATAAATGATTATAATTAAATGAATAAATTATACCTTAAAGATTGAATATTTATATATTTTTCTACTAAGAAAATGTTATCATTATTATAGTATTAATTAAATCAAATCAATATCATCGAAAACTTTATAATTTGGATATAATTTATATAACGATTGATTAGTTGATGAATTTGTGGCAAAAAAATATGAGTCCCAACCCCTGCCGTTAATTGACTGATCAAACCATTCTGTATGTAATCCACGAATCTTTTCGTACAAATGATCGCCAATTCTTAGTTTCCATTGATCTTCAGATTTTGGCCAATGATTGTAAAGTGCAGTACGTTTTGGTGTCAATGAATGGTGATAATGAAAGGGCACATCAAGTGATCGGTATGATAATGAAGCGTCAATTTGTTTATAACGCATCAATTCATATGACAACCGGCATATCTATCAAATATGTTATAATAATTATAATTAGTTAGACAATTAAAATACAGTATAAAAATTTTCCATAAATGTGTATTTTTTAAATTATAAAATTGAAGTTAATTAATATTTATTTAATTATTGTATAATAAAATATTTTATTAATAACTTACAGCTGAACTAAAAGTACAAACAATAAAATCTGATTCCGATAATAAAAATATATCGTTAAGTAAACCCCAAAGAGACTCATTTGAATAACGAGTCGTTTGACTAAATGCTAATTTTGCATTAGAAATGCTGCCAATAAAGTGATAATCGGGATAATTATGGATCAATTGTGGTAACACTGATGGATCATCAGAGGCCACATAAACTAACTTTTGCGACACTTGTTGTGTTAGTTTTAGTTTATCAAAATAATCCTTAACTACAATCATATAATCAGAGATCGGGTAATACAACGCTTCTCTATAACTTAGTTTATCAGTTCTCCGCACTTGTATCCCAACTATTGGATGTTTGAATCCAATTTGTTTTTTTACATCTGATATATATTTCTCAAGTCGTTGTTGTGGTCTTAAAATATATCCAACAAATTGCGAGTGAAACCATGAGTTAGGATTGTCCACTAATGACATCAATTGGTCGCCAAACTCTTTGGGTAATTGATTGATAAGTTTTCTATTTATTACAGTATTTGATTGTTTGTCTATTATTAACTGATTGTGTGCCACGTCTTTGTGATCACAAGTAGAACTAAGAGGCATAAAGATATCGCTCCAACTTTCGCGAGATATTTGAAAAATTGATGAAAACATACGCTCCCAGACATCGGATTCACGATTTAGATATTTAGTCCAATCGGGAATTAAAATAACCGTTTGATTTCTGTAATAACCGGATATCAAACACCAAAGTATTTCGTGTATTCCCGACGCAAACCCGGCATCAATACCCAGTTTGCACATCAATTTTGGCACTTTTTTGCATAAATGTTTCGGTGGATTCTGAAGTAATTGTATTTTTTGCAGAATTGTTTCAGATATTTGTTTAAGTTTTGTATTTTTAAAAGTCGTTAATCCATTTAAAATGCTAACAGTTTGTATCTCAAGTTGAATAACACTTAATATCAATGAAATTTTTTTTAATTAATAAAAAATATAACTTTTCAAACAAAACATACTTTTTAATGTCACTTATTTCTGACATAATTCTTGTCTTTAATTTATTATTTATAGAATTTGTTTTATTTAATGTTATCGACAAATAATTGAATACTTCTTGAGTAGTTGATTGGGCTCTTCTTAAATGTTTTAAAATTTTTAAATTTACTAAAAAAATGTTTATATTAATAATAAATTAATTTTTTAAAACAATATTTATTGTATATTATATCTACTGTTCTATTACTTACCATTAAGTTTAAAGTTATTTTGTAGAGAACTTAATAAATGAGTTTTATTTAATTTTAGATAATACTTATATAAATCCACATTTTCTTTATGATATTCTAATGCATTATAATTTGTTTGATTATTTAACAAATATAACAATAAGACAAACGAAATGCAACAATAAATCCACAAAAATAAATTAATAAACTTATTATTCCACAAGTTATTTACTCGCATTTTTAAAATTTACATTTAAATAAATCATAAAAATCAGATAATCCAAAAAATAATGTGATTTATATAAGTTATAAATATTTATAGTAATTTAAAAAAAAAAAAAATTATACTATTATTTTTAAATTTAAGAAAGAGTCTCTTAAACAATGAAAATATAATAACAAATGATAAATTGTAGTGATATTTCACACTTAATATCCATAATTACATTACAATTGTTTTGAAAATAGTAATTTTATAGTATTTTAATGAGTATTTTAGCGGAAATGTGAATGAGTTTTGTAACCGAGGTTTTGCTTTATACAAGAATTCACTGATAATTATTTAGATTACAATTGTTTATAAAAACTTTGTTTTATTGCATATTATTATATTATTATTACTACTCAGAAAATAATCATTTAAATAATGAAAATAMAATTTTTATACAAAATAACGTAAAATAAATCATTAATTAAATTTTTAATTAACATGCTATTTTATTTACATTTTTGTAAAAGATAATAAAGATTATTAACTTCAAAAATAACAAAATAGTTTATATACAGTATATGGCAAATGAAAATTAATTATTAATTACATAAAATCATTGTTTCATCAGTTCTTAATTTTATCAAATCTTACGGCCTCTTCATAAGTTGGAGGAGAGTCATAATGATAGGTCATATTATTATATGAATTGATTTCATCGATGGTAACTAAATCAATCGTAAAGTCATCGGAGTTATCAAATAAGAGTTCAATTTGGTCTGTGGTTCGTTCCAAGTCAGCCATCAGTCTCTCTTCATTGTTGGCTAACATCAACAGATCATAAGGTGATGCTTCACATGTGGACAACATATCGCTATCACACTCTAATTCAGTAACGGATGTATTGTTATGGTGTGACCCATAAGTGGCCAAAATTAAGACTATAATAAAGATAATAGCGGCAGAAAAAACAAATATTGAAAACTCGTATAATGTGGCCATCAGTGGTGAAACCTCCACATTATAACTCATCACATATGATCCCATTATTATCAATAATATATATATGGGAATCACAATTACAGAGCACCGGAATAATAAATAGGAATACCAGAGATTCTCAACTATTTTACGAATTTTATCGTATTTTTTCATTTTTGATTGTAATTTATAGTAATAAAAATCTCATCAATTATTTTTCATATAAATATGTAATAAAAMTATAAATTATTTTACAAACAGATTCTACCATTTTTTCAATCAATTGATGGCTATTTTGCAGTAATTTATCGATTTTTAAAAACTAAATATTATGTGTAAGGACTTGATTTGCACCCAATTCTGTAAAGGACTTAACTCATGTTACACAACAATACACATTAAGCCCTTAAAAATAAATGATTATTATTTTTATGTTTTGTCCATGAATTCAAATAATACATATTTTTATTTTGTAAGTTATAAATAGAAACTTTTTAAAATAACAAATTATATAAAGAAAATTTGTCGTATCATTAAATTTATYTTAATTTGTCTTGTTTAGTCAAATATTTAGTTAAACAATTATTCTTAATTTAATAATAATTAAAATACTGTAACAAAATAATATATATATATATATATATATATTTATATTAAATTTACGATAATTATATAATAAATAAATGTTATTCAATTATTAAGAGGAATGCAAAATAAGTTTTTATAATTAGCCAACAATTGGTCGAGACCTGAGTTTTCAAGAGATTTTGAATAAATATTAAAGATATCGTCCAATATTTGTTTGTTGTCATCAATATTAATGAGTTGTCTTTTAAGACAAACTACTGAAAAAATAAAGGCTTTTTCGATATCAAATTTATAGAGAATTTGAATGGCTTTTAAATATTGTTTGATTGTTATATAAACGATGACAGCTGTCTGATAGTCATTGTGTGAAATGAGGTGTTCGGCCCACCGGCGCATTATCTCATTGTATTCCTCACCATTAAGAGTACACTAAAATAATTGACAATCAATTTATTAAATATTACCGGTAATAGAGTTTTAGTTTAAATAATCTAAATAATAATGGGTTTAAATTATAAAAACCTACTTTTGCTAAAAAAATAGATTCCATCCATTTGTTAGCACTTTGAAGATAACGACAGGCGTCTTGAGTTTTACCGATCAAACACAACATTTGTGAGCCGTCGTCAATGCGACCGTTGGCTATCAAATTAGTGGCCACTAACTATACATACAATAAATATTAAATTTAATATATATATTAAAACAATAATTACTAACTTTTATGACCGGATGTGCTGTCGAATCGTCGTTTGTTGACTGAAGTGCTGCAATAAGACATGCTTTCAAAGCGTCGACATAATAATCATCGAKTGATGAATCGCTTTCCAAAAGCAACTGAACTGCTCTTTGAGAGTGATTTAAGATAACAAACAATTCATATAAAAGTAGATTTTGTTTGTGTTTCGTGCGAATTGAGTCCAATATCGATACCTTTTCCAACAAAATCTCTTTGAATTGTTTGTTATCCAAAAAGATATCATTGTTTCGATCGAGTCTTTCCTTGTTATCAAACAATACATATGAAACAGTATTCCAAAAGTTAAAACTTTGGCAATCATTAAATAATTTTGAAATAAATATATTTCTCTCGACATCACAATCAAAAAGTTTTGATTTAGTATTAATTTGATTTAAAATTAACTTTGATTTTAATATAAATCGTGACATTTGTGATAATATGAAAAAGTTGACACAATTCAAGTCAATTTGATCGCTATCTGTTTGATTGACTATTGACTCAGTCATAGGACACGAATATTGTCTAAGTTTCATATCAGTCACTAATATAGTTCCTTCAGATGTACATAGAATTGGTCGATCACTTGCAGCCCAATCGATGTCAACAATTTTATAGCTAACATCTCTCGGATATTTTAATTGTGCGGTAAGTTTAAAGTCTTTTGTGTCCCAAATATCGATGCCGTCATTGTATAGAATAAGAAACTTCATGTTACCTCTTCCCGGACCGAACCGTATTTTTCTCACATTTCCTCTATGAGTCGTTTCAATACGCGATGCCTTCCTCTTGAGGTCCCAAATGTTAAGGTTTCCAATAGCATCACCTAATAATACCTGATCACTCTTCCAGGCTATACATGTGATATTAGCACTCATATCAGTGTCCGGCGGAATACAAGTAATTTCTTTGACTATATTTCCCTCAACTGAAAAATGATATAATTCTCCATTTGTATTGGTTATCACAAAATTTTCTCTCGAATGAAGAATAACATTATTTGTGTCATTAGCTTCAAGACGTCGACTATAAAGTGGACTCCACTCGATGGCAGTGACAGATGAAAATTGTTTTGGCATAACTCGAAGCAATTGTAAACTCTTGAGATCCCATATTTCGAACGGATCTTCTTTGAATGAAATAATTAAATACTGTTTGAGATGTGATATTCTTAACGATTCGATTGGAGATGAGTCCAGATTTCGTTCGGCTCTCATTGGATAAGTTGTTCCCGAAGTCATCTCAGTTATGTTTAATTCRTTATTTGTTTTACCCGAATGTGGAGATATATTAGGAAAAGCATATGATATGAATGCATCCAAACCGGTCCACTCAATGCCTCGTACGGGAAATGAATGTAAACTGAATTCCCGTTCGAGYGTTGAAAGCGATAGATTCCATATCTGTATACTTCCACTCATATCTCCGACCGCTAAAAATGGCTTTAAATATAAATTTCATATTTTAAATGTCATGCAATAAACAAAAAAATTATTAAAAATATTTTACTCTATGAAACTGCCAGTTCCTCATCGTAACGGGTGGACACATACGGATCACATTAGGATTAAAGTTAATCGCAGAAGATATTTGTGTCATTAAAATGCGATACTTTTTGCATTTGTTATTTTGTTTAACAATATATTGTTCACTACTGATAATATCATAAATATACTGCAAATTTAGTAATCCATTACTTGGTTTTGTTCCCATTTTATGAATCTTTTTAATAACAACTCTTCCATTACTTAGCAGAAGAGCTACTTTTGTCTCATCCATTGGTGACATACAACTACCAAAAATTTTGTTTTGTTTCGTTAATCTCAATCCATCCGATTGACAAAGATTTGCATATGAAATGACAATATTATCTGTCATTCCATTCGATTCTTTTATCATTTGCTTCTGGAATAGTCGTAAAGAAACTGTTCCGAAATCGTGACATAAAAAGAAAGCATTTCTGTATTGACACGAAAAGATGTTTGTTATGTTAGAACAGTTCCTTTCGAGTGGTATTAAACAGATTATAGATTCAATTGATAAATCAATTATAAATATCTGTCGACTAATGGCAACCAATACTTGATTGCGAACTGATTTGTGATAACAAATTTCAATCCATTCATTCAAAATATTTGAATCATTTATAACCTTTTGATCCAATAATAGATTATATTTTGATTGAATTGATGACTTGGAGGGTGTTTTTGGCGAGTTATTGGATGAAACGGAATAATATTTCATTAGTCTATTGGGACATCCATTTGATCGCAAGTCATCAAAAATAGCAAAACAACAGTCAGTAGACTGAATGGCAAGCAATACATTATTTTTACAAAACGGATCCAATGATATACTCTTAACAATTAAATCGTAATGTTTTGTCCAAACAATTTCACCAAATTCTGTGTCCAATAAAACCAAATTATTATTACGACTTAAAACTAGCAAATATTGTTGAAAACCGCTCTCAAGATTGGTCTTCAATGATATCCATTCAACAGATTGAATCCCTTTTAAATCTTTATTGGCCGCAATCAATGTAAGAAATGAACCCTCAATCACATCCCATATAATTATTGTGCCATTTGTGTCAACTGAACACAACTTGAAATCACTTGTAGGACACCAACGAATCAAACAAACCGAAGAGTTATGTCGATGAAGACCTTTTGGTTTAACAAATTAATGAAACAATTGTTTGCATTTGACTAATAACATACTTTGACAGTGTTTGAGACCGTGAAGTGCGTCCACAATAATGACCCGATTATGTGACGCAAATGCAATTAAGCCATTGACTGACCAGTCGATGGCCTTCTGGTTGTATTCAGACAACACTCCCGGTATTGTCCGCTGACTTATGTTTTGAATGACTGGTCTCTGATGTGATGTCGACGTCGACAACTGGTCACCACTGATGGCAGTCGATGACTCGTCAGCTTTCGTGGTGCTGTCGGACGACAAATCATCGTTGGAAGAGACAACTGGATTGTCTGTTGAGGTCATTGATGGCAATCAAATGGTGTCATCATTTCAAATGACTTCAATAACATTCACTATATTTTCACAAATAAGTCATTATTTGTGAACATTTATATAGAATGACCAAAATATTAGTAATTTATTGTAACTTAAAGTTATTTAATATAATATTTAAACCATTTTAAAACATTTATATTATTTGATACTTTTTTGACTTGAAGTTAATACGAGCTAATAAACTATTTATATTATAATTTATACATTTAATATACCGATAGTTATATAGTATATAATAATTGATAATTAATATTAATATTAATTTAATTGATTATATCTTTTGTCTTTACAGTATTAAAGTCATAATAATTGTTTGTTATACTGTATAATACAGGCGACAACTGTGCCACTGATAAGTCTATACTAATGTTATGTTTGAATTGTTTCAATGTTTATGATTGAAATCTTTTGACTAAACATATGTTTTAAAGCATTCATTCATTCATTTATTAATCATTTAATTTAAATTTTCTTCTGCAAGAAGTTGTACTCAWTTTTATCGATCAATTAATTGTTAAAATTTTGATGATATCTTGTCATCGACGGTAAGATATCACTAATGGCCACAAGTAATGGTAAAAAGAGTGGCGAAAGTCAATCAACAAAAAAGTCACATAAATATGATTTAAGTGACCAAACAGTGGCTGATATTAAGCAGACCTTTGAACAGTTTGCCACCGAAGACAAGAAACACATCCAAACCAAAGATCTGAAGATTGCAATGAGAGCTCTAGGATTTGAACCCAAAAAAGAAGAGATCAATAAAATGATTCTCGAAATCGACAAAAATAAAAGCGATTTAATCACTTTCGATGATTTTTTCAATGTTATGGCCAAACGGTTGGCAGAAAAGGACACAAACGATGAGATTATGAAAGCGTTTCAATTGTTTGATTGCGACCAAAGCGGAGGCATTTCATTTGAAAACTTAAAACGAGTGGCAAAAGAGTTGGGAGAAACCATTAGTGATGAAGAATTGAAAGAAATGATTACCGAAGCGGACAGAGATGGAGATGGAGTCGTCAGTTCTCAAGACTTCCTCAGGATTATGAAGAAGACTTGTCTCTATTGATCTCTTAAATTGATTCCTATTTTATTATTATTATATAATTATTGTCAATCATTAAAAATATCACTATTTATTTAATGTTTATATACTGTAGTACTGTATTGTCACATAATTCTATGCTTATTATCAATCATTGATTTACTTTTTATATTTTTAATTGTTTATTACTTGAATAAATTWTGTAAATTTATTGTTTTTTAATATGTCTAATGTAATTTTACAGTAATTATAATATATTATTTATTGTAATATAATTTAATAAAAATATTTACCGTATATTAGAATTATAATATATTTATAAATATCCAATAAATAATTATATAATAAATACTGTACATAATTTACTGTATTGTAAATTGATATTATTTATAAATAGCTATATGYTATATATTACAACAAGTTGTCATTGATGTTTGAATTAATTGATTTGATTGATTAATTTGCATTTTATTATATATTTTAATATTTAATGTCTCAAATGATATGATATAAATAATTACCGTTACTTTTATAATTTAATGTTTATACATTATTTAAATTATAAAATGTTTATGTTGGCACTTGTGTATTTTAAAATAATATATTTAAACAATTTTAATTATTGTAATAAATGTTTATAAAGATTCTTTTATGACATTGCTTATTTATAATATTTATTAAAATGATTTAGATAATACTATTTTTAATTAACGGTATATTATTTACTGACTAACTGTAGTAAACTGAGACCTTACAAGTAAATAATAAAGTTGATTTATAGATTTTATCAATTCAATACAAAATCATTAACAAATTGTTAATTTTTATAATAAAATTTTGTAAATAATATGAAAGTATTAGATTATTGATAAATTTGTATCATTTTGTTTAAATTGCTAAATGTTAATAATTATGATTTTTTATAGTTTCATCAAGATAAAAGTATAATAAATTGTTGAAGATATAATATATAGTATTAATACAGTATATAGTGTAATATAAAGTGTATATTATACTGATATTCTACACTATATAATATTGGTTTATCTTAATATCGTTCCCGCATTAGATTCCCGATTTAGTCATTTATTTGAATATCTAGTAAACCATATTTTATATATAAATATGACAAATAATGGCAATATTATAGACAATTTGATACTTTTTGATACTATATATTTGATTATTTTTTATTTAATTATAAAGTTAACCAAATAATTGCATCCAATCGCTTAAAAGAGGTCGGATGCAATTATCTGATTAATCATACAATTAAATAAAATATGACCAATGAATGTAAAGTATATTCATTATAGTATTATCTATAGTATTGCCATTATTTGTCATTTTARTATATAAAATATAGTTTACTAGATATTAAAAATAATTAATTAGTCGATAGTCTGATACGGCAATGATTTTAAGATATTGCTTATTGATAATATTTAATATTGATAAATAAAACTTGTCTTTTATGAGTTTAGTATATAATGTTTAGCAATGTATAAAAATTACCAATAATATTGATAAAACAGTGTATAAGTTTAAATTTTTTTTTATAAAATATCAGTGTCTATTATTTGAACAATTTGTGTAATCAATGATATATATATCGATGATAAAGTCAAGCATTTGTGCTGATCTTTTGCCACCTCAGGTCCCTATAATTTGCATAATATTGTATTATCATAGCTATCATAGAAAAGATAAAAGTGATTAACAAAGTTAATGAAATTATTAGTGCAATAGTTGCTGAAGTAGTGTTTCGGTGAAGTTTAACAAAATAGTTATGACAAGAATCCATTGTTGTGTTCATCCATTTGTTCCATAGTTGAAGAGTTTGGTTGACTGATTGACATCCATGGAGTGTTGATATAGTGAACATACGGCACACTTCAATACCGCACATATTGTGACGATTTGTAGTGCTTAAGACAAACTCGGGACTGTCATGAATAGCTATATTGTATTTTTGAGCTATAATTCCAGTTATGTACAGGTCATCAATGTCCAGAACTGGTCCAGTATTATTGACGGCCGATTTGTACAGTTTATTAATAATATCGGTTGATATAACATAAGCGGCACCCGACAAGTAAGGCGGATAATAGTCTTCATCAAATACTTCTTTAGGGATCAGCCATTTGTCTGCCATTTCATTATTAATATCACGTATAGGTTTAGAATATTTAAATAATTTTCCAGTTATTCCTGAATGAAATGTCTTGTTTTCGATCCTTTCTCTTAATCTTTCAGTATTTACTACAATATCGTCATCTGTTTTAATGACATAATCATTAGACAAACAATACAATGAAATCCATCGCAAAAGACCAATGGCTTTAAGTGTGAGATTGTGATAATCGTCAATAAAATCAAACTGAAGAATATCACCGAAATGATTGGATTCGATGAGTATATCTCTTTGAAGACTATAATTACGTGGTTTTGCCAAAACAAACACAACTTTGATATTATGCTTAAAAGCTTCCTTAGCCCACGTCTCACGGGTGACACGTCGTCGGTCATAGTATTTACCCGATGTTTGTGCGGCTGAGTGGACAAACACGTGGATCACATGGTTTGAACATTTGTTTTGTTGAATTGTCACTACTTTTGTTAACTCTAACTCTGATAAATTGTGTGAATATTTATGCCCTACTCTCTTAGCAAACACATAATTATTAGATGATATGATATTTATAAATATTAATATAATTAAATTTACTAATAATATCATTGCTAATTGTTATATAAATGTGTTTTCACAATTAAATCAAATGTATTATTTTGATAATTACAAAAAATAACTTTATGTAAATGAATAAATTACAATGATAATAAATGAATAATAATAATCTATTAATATATATTTATGTAAAACCACAATTAAAATTTTGTTATTTGATAAAATAAACAATATATGTAATTAATTTATAATTTATATTTCAAGATTATATAACATATGACAAAATTTAATTTCTAATTTACATAAAGTTATATTCAATAATATTTATATAAGATATCAATGTTAAATAAGACAAGTGTTTAACATAAAAACATTAAAACTAGATTATAAATTATCAACTAACTTTATATACTGTGTACAGTATACTGCTATTTATGACAATAAAATCATTCATTAAAAAAATATCATATAGAGTCTATATATTATATACAGTATTATATACAAATTAATAATACATAGAATTATAAGATAATTTTTGATGAGTTTGTATTATTATTTATTTGTTGCTAAAATTTTCAACGAGTTAACGTTAAATATATTTATATTATTTGTAATGAGATTATAGTTTTAATGATATGGCCATTAATTTCCGAAATAACCATTTTTGAACTATATATCAAAATTAAAAAAAAATATTATTCAAATAATTAATTACTTATAATTAATAATTTTGGATTTACTAATTAATAAAAATCTCTATATTAAAATATTATTAAATTAGAAATAAATTATATTAATAACATTTGATTTGTTTAGTTACTTGCATTTCTAATTTATACAATAAAAATTGAAATTTTGACAGTTATATATTAAAGAGAAACTAAAATAATTATATTTAAAATTAGTTTAAAAAAATAATAATTCAAATAAATGTCWAATAAACTATATATTAGTGACGATTTATTTAATAATTAATAATTATCATTAACTTTACAAAACTAAAAAAATATATTAATGTATTGTATATTGTGATGAATCACATTATACTGTATTGTGGAAAGAAATACATAAGTATTACATAAAATTATGAAAATAAAAAACCGAATTACAATAATATAAATTAAAATAATAAAAATTGTGAATAAATATATATAAAAACAATTAAAAATTAATATTAAAAACAAAATATAAAATGATATATTTTTAATGTTTCATTTTTCTCTAATTACACATTAAAAACAGTATTCAAATTGCTATATAAATATTTCTAATAATTTTTTTACAGATATTCAATATTCATAAACTCCTCAAATGAGTACATATCTGAATTCTAAATGTCTGTCTGTTTATTAAACATCAAAAATAAAGTACAGGACTCTGATTCTCTCAAATGTTTATTATTAATTGGTCCCTGCAACGTTAATTATACAAAAAATATTAAAACTAAATAAATAAAACAAATGGGTATGTAATTCTTAACTTACAATTAAGATTATTTTGTAATACTAAATCATATGCTTATTTATATGCTGAAGTTATTTAGTTATACCGAGTCATTTGATACCTTAAATGATTAAAGTTGAATTTATTTTGCTAGTCATTTAGTTTTTCATTCATTTACCTTACATGACTAAAGTTGAGTTTATTTTGTTATACTAAGTCATTTTATATAGCAATTAGTAGTGTTGGTAATTTTTCGCAATTCAATTTTCGATTGCCGCAATTGCGGAAAATTGCGTGAAATTGCTTGAAATTGCGCGCATGAGGGAATGTATAAAAATTAACTTTGACGTTAAAAATTTTGTTTACAATAGATTAAGAGAATTTACTAATTTATTATTATTTTTACATGGTTTTTAGATGGCAACATTTTATGATAAAATAATTATATTTTATATAATTAATTTATGTTTTTATTCATATTGCTTTGCCATTTAAATTTTGTTAATTTTTTAAAAATTATAAATTTTTCTATGTAACAATTGCGATTTTCGCAATCGAGCTTTTTGCAATAATTTCACGCAATTTCCGAGCAATGCAATTGCGCATTTTGCAATCGGTACATCACTAGCAATTAGTATTGTATTGCAATATAGTAAATTTTTATTATACTAATTTCTTATACAGACTAAAGCCTTTTAGTTACTTTTAGTTAGTTTATCAAATAAATAATCAAAATTACCTTAAATTTAATTTGTATTCATAACTACTGTATATCTGTGATAAACATATTGTATAATATATACATTATACTATACATTGAATATTAATTAATTTACAATACATTCTCTCTCTCTCTCTCTATATATATATATAATAAAACTAAGTATTAATATTAAAAATAGAAATTTATTGTAACTCAACGTTTGATTTTTTAACCTACCTTTCATTTTATATCTATATTTTATAGTAAATAAATAATATATAATTATAATAATCTATATAACTATTGATATATTCATTTATATTTTATAAAATATTGTATCAGATGAATAAAATATAAAGCAATAAATACTAAGTTAACATAAATATCATAAAATGGCATTGCCTTAACTGCGGTGAGACATGGGAAGCTTGCGGTCAGTAATTATCTCGAGAACCGTTGGTCAGATCTTGCGGTCAAACATATAAAAGTTGTTGAGAATAAAAAGTTAGGAACAATGATTTACATTAAAAAAATTTAGGTCCACCAGGGGGCGCACAAAATAAATAAAACATGAAAATTTTGCATTAAAAAAGTTGCGGTCAGGTATTAACTATTATGCGGTCAAACATATAAAAGTTGTTGAGAATAAAAAGATAAGAGCTATGGTTCTATTGTAAAAATTTTAGGTGCGCCAGGGGGCGCAAAATATAATATAACCCTTATTTTAAAAAATTGGTGGTCAGGGTGTATCTCTAGAACCGGTGGTCACATTTTGCGGTCAAACATATAAAAGTTGTAATGAATAAAAAGCTAGAAACAATGGTATACTCGTAAAAAATCTAGGTCCAAAAGGGGGCCCACAAATAAATAAAATCCTTATTTTTATTTTTAAAAAGCTGTGGTCAACGATTATCTGAAAAAACTGTAGTCAGATCTTGCGATCAAACATTTAATAGTTTTAGAGAATAAAAAGTTAGGAACAATGGTTAAGTTGAAAAAAATCTAGGCTAACCAAGGGGCGGAAAACCATTATTTATTTTTTAAATTTTGTTGTCAATGATTATCTGAATTATATGAGGTCTATAATATTATTAACATATGGTTATAAAATAAATTTATTTAATTTAATATTATAATTACCAATTAAAAAAATTTAGATTTAAGAAAGATACTTATTCAAGAGTACTTATTTGTCTTTTATATAACTTTTATATATTAGACCGCAAGAACTGACCGATATTTTTCCAGATAATTACTAGAGAGAGGGGTTTTAGAGAGAGAGAGAGAGAGAGAGAGAGAGAGAGAGAGAGAGAGAGAGAGAGAGAGATACACAATGATTGCCACTTTTTTAATACAAAATGTTTTATTTTTTTGTGGGCCCCCTGGTGGTCCTAAAATTTTTTCAAGTGGACCATATTTCCTAACTTTTTATTCTCAAAAACATTTATATGTTTGACCGCAAGATCTGACCAACGGTTCTCGAGATACACCCTGACCGCCACTATTTTTTAATAAAATTTAGGGGTTTTATTTTTTTGTGGGCCCCCTGGTGGTCCTAAAATTTTATCAAGTGGACCATAGTTCTTATCTTTTTAATCTCTACAACATTTATTTGTTTGACCGCAAGATCTGTCCAGTGGTTTTCCAGATACACAATGATTGCCACTTTTTTAATACAAAATGTTTTATTTTTTTGTGGGCCCCCTGGTGGTCCTAAAATTTTATCAAGTGGACCATAGTTCTTATCTTTTTAATCTCTACAACATTTATTTGTTTGACCGCAAGATCTGTCCAGTGGTTTTCCAGATACACAATGATTGCCACTTTTTTAATACAAAATGTTTTATTTATTTTGTGCGCCCCCTGGTGGACCTAAATTTTTTTTAATGTAAATCATTCTTCCTAACTTTTTATTCTCAACAACTTTTATATGTTTGACCGCAAGATCTGACCAACGGTTCTCGAGATAATTACTGACCGCAAGCTTCCCATGTCTTACCGCAGTTAAGGCAATGCCTCATAAAATAATATTACAAAAAATTGAGTGCAACAATATCAACAGATACAATAAAAATATTTATTACTATTATTTAATTTTATATTATATAAACAATATATTATAATGTAGTATTTTATATATAGTATCTTATGATTAAATACTGTAGCTAAAAAATCTCATTACTTTTATTACATTTATTAATTTAATTATCGACTAACAATAAAATATTAATATTTACAGTATTAAAACAATTCATTTGTATTAAAATAATTAATATATAAATAGATCTTTTGTAATCCATGTATTTATTTCATATGCAAAAGTAATGTACAGTTAAAGTACTAGAGAGAGAAAGAGAGAGAGAGAGAGAGAGAGAGAGAGAGAGCTAATGTCAAACCGTAAAGAATTAAGTGAGATTCCGGATTATTTAAATTGCTTATTGAGTTAGGCGTCGTCCACATATTACGTTCGCTTTTTAAGAAATCTAGACCCCCTCCTCCCCTATGTTAGCATTTGTTTGCATGTAATCATTTTAAAAAATTACGTTCGCATGTCCATAACCGTTACCCCCCTCACCCACAAGAAATAAAATATCTAAATGCGAACGTTCTTAAAGTCTCTACCCCTCCCCTCCCCCTCGTTCGCAAAAGTTCGCTTTGGCTAACCCCCCCCTCAAGTGCGAACGTAATATGTGAACCACGCCTTATCAATTATTTCCATTAATCAAATCTATAATCTTTCTCATCCTTAATATACAATTGTAAATTGCAATGCTTTTCCACAACTAAATAAAGTTGTTAATAGATATTTATAAAACACTAACAAAACTATATTTTAATAAAAATGTATAAATTTTAACTATAATTTCTCAATATTGTATTGTATTATAAATTGGCAATATTTAAACAGTTGTGTATTATTGTATACATTGTCTCGTCTAACTCATACACATTAAATGAGTAAACTTATAATCAAATCAATATAAAAAATTGAAGACAACCTATAATCCAAATATTTATTTCTATAAAACTTATTTTGTAAATCATAATACAGGTAATGATAACACAATTGCATAAATCATTTTGTCAATATTATTATATACTTTATCAATAATGATAATTTTAAGTTAAATATTTATTACTTTACAAAATGTTTTTTATTTAAAAACAAAATTTATTTTCCATATAATAAAAATTAAAATAAATAGATTTTTAGGTTTAGGTTAACTATAATATATATACTATACAAATATGTATAATAATTGCCAAATATTACAGATCAGGTAAAACCTAAACAATGGGCAACTAATATGTCAGAGTATAACAAATGCAATTAAATAATATAATTTATAATATGTACAAATCAATTATCTAAACTTAGAAATCGTGACAAAAATCAGTTATACTTACATTTCAAATAAGATTTGTATTTACGAGTTGGTACTCAAAATAATATAAATAGAAATATTAAATTAATGCAAATAATGCTAAAACATGACATACAATATATAATAATATTTGATGTCCATTTATATTACAATAAATGCTTGGATGTGCAATCATCAACATAATACATCAAAATATACAGTATATCAGTAAACATTGTGATGATATACTAAAAATTCAATTACTAATGTATAATAATAAATCCATAAAATTGTATAAATGTTTGCAAATAACACAAAAACATAATTAAATATTCTTTCGTCAATATGTTTAACATTTATTTGAAAATATGATAAACTCATGCGCCGACAATCTATAAAAAGCTATGTACTGTCATGTAATATACAGTATAAAAATTATATAACAAAAAACAATGACAATATATAGCAAATAGGATCAGGTATTTCTAATAAAAATTGAAAATATAATGACTATATATAAACTATTTTATGAGGTAATGGATGAAAGAGCTGGAAATGGATTTTGTTTAGATATAACAAGCTTTTGGTGCTGTAATGATATATAGCCTTTGATTTTGCCCTCAAATATCAGATTTGCAAGAATACAATGCACTTCTTCCAGATTGATCTCTTCGTCGTATAGATATTTCATGGCTGTGGTAATCACTTGGATTGGAATCTGATGACTGGTCACCATTAGTGACACTTTTTTGCATATATTACGAAATGCAATCATTTTCARTTTTTCGAGTATCAGATAAATACCATTACTCCAGAAGAAGTGAGCGTTAGTTTCAAGAGCTTCGTCTAAATCTCTGACATTACCGTCTTTAACAGCTCTGATAACGAGTGCAAACTCTTGTAAATCATATTTATAAAGAAGTTGGTCACTAGGCATGTGTCCTAACAACATCTTAACGGGAATCAAATAAATTAAAATTAATTTCAGATTCTTATGGGCCTCGGGATGACAATTGTTGAATGCAAATGACAACAATTCTTCGGCTTTCTTGTAATCGGAATCAAAGAGTGATTTCATTCCAGTAAAGTAGTTATAAGTGACAGTTTGTGCTAAACTGAATTGATTCATCATATTTGCATTTTCAAGAGCTCTGGTCAATGGTTTATATAAATGTAATTTATTGATCTTAAAGTATATTTTAAACAATTGATTGATTAGATTAATCATTCCTTTTCTTTTTGTCACTTCTTGTGTCGCTCTGTTATCGTTAGCGCAGACTCTAAAACAGGACATTATCTGTGAGGCCGCTTCTTCAAGACATTCATCGGGTTTGACATGAGTTGATGATTCGCCTGATGTTTGTTTGTAATTATCTGCAAGAGTGGCCAACTGTCTCACCTCGACTGCCGATATGTACATCACTGGTAATATCCAGTTCTCGTCTTTCAATTGAATTAATACTTTGATGAGAGCTTGGATTAGTTGACATTTATTGTTGAATGCTTCAATCGGGTCGTTGTCTATAACCAGAGCTTTGCAACACTTTAAATGTGCAATCAATAAGTCATCAAATGGCGAGAAGATGTATCGCGATATAAGAGTTTCGTTGATATCATCTAAAAGTGGTCGCAAAGCGTCGCGCTGTCTAATGGACAAAGCGGTGGCCATACGTTGGCCATCCTTTTGAAACTGGATGTCATTGAAATGAGTTAAGAAGGAGTTGAGGTTAGCTCTTGGACCGGCCATTAGTGGACACAATAAATCAAATCAAATCAGTTGTTTGTATTGACTGCCTGTTTATCAGACACTAGATGTCAAACATGCTTTGACTACAGTGTATAATAGAGTACATGTGTTGTGTGTATTGTATTGAACGTCAATAACGTGTTGTATTATGAGTGCCATTCAGATCCCCTCTACTGTAAAGTATTGCCAATGAATTGTTGTGAGCATTGAGTCTATAGTTATTGATATTCAATGGTATGAGACATGCGTTGACACACAAAGAGGTTGAACACAATGTAGTGTTTTAGTGATAGCATTGAACTGTTTGGTGAACAGTGTTTGTAATGCAATACAACTATAATGTCATTCAAACACTAAAAACACTGTTTATATGACTCTATGTTTACTCATCTCCAGACTTGTCTCGGGTTAACCATTGATGGCAATACTTGTCATGTTTTGATAAAGTGTTGACCAATTAGTCCAAACAATGGATCATTCGGTGAAAGCAATGAATAGTCACCGAAAGGTGGTGTTTTCAAGACTCTTTAACCGACGACGCTTTGAAAGTAAAGAACTGGAAGACCTGTACCAGAGATACATCTTTAAACTGCAACAGTCGTCTATTATGAGTGTATTGGTCCTCTTCATCATCTTAACGGCTACTTTAGCCACTCTTCATATATACTACGAGAAAACAGTGACACTGATCGGTCTATACTGTCTTTTGCAATGTCTGGCATTCATCGGACTGTTTGTGTTGTCGTTTAAGATGCAGGACAGCCAACTGCTGGCACTTTGTTATGTGATATTATTATTCTTTGTCCTCTTCTGTCTAATCTTCGCTCCCGTTAACCTCAAGTTAGTGTACACTGACCCGAACAGTGGCCATAATGACAGTGGTGTTGTGGACAACTCGACAGTGGACAGAGTGGACAGTGGTGTTGATCCGTGGTTTGTGTCTCGACTGTGGAATGTCGACCATTTGGCTGCAGAAGGYGTTTGGCAGATAGTTTTTGTCACATTTGTCACATACACTATGTTACCAATTAAAACCAGAATCTCACTCTTGATGGCAGCGACTCTTGCTTTGACTCACATTGTCATCACTGCTACCAATACAAGACATCACTTAAATAACACATTAGTTTTACAACAGGTATGACTATTACATTACTGTTATTTTGATGATCATTACTACATATATGTAGTATTGAATAAATGTATTGCAGTATAAAAACAAATGTTAAGTGAAAATAGCGTAAAAACCAATGTAATAGAGTATAAATCCAAAAGGTTATCATAAGAGTAAATGCCATTTAATACTAACATAAAAGACTTTTTTGTTATATCAAACAATTTAACTCTCTTTTCATTTGCCGCTAAACTCTATATAATTTTCTTAATCTAATGTGATATTTAATAAAATTTTGTTAAACAAATGATATAACAAATAAGTTATTATCATTTTAAGAAACAATTTCAAAGACATGAAAATAAGCAAAAATAAATAATGATTTTATAATCTTTTTATGTTTAATTTAAATGTATATAATATATATGGTTATAATCTTTCATCAAATGATGAACACATCTGTATGATTGAAATTAAACTTTTTGTATTGTTTATGTTATCCATATGTTAACCATTGTTTATAATAAAAATGGATCATTCATAATATATTGCATATACGGTAGTAAATTAAATATTACATTATTTAAGTTATAAATWAATTATTTATCAAATTTTAGGTTTTGTTTAATATATTTGGCATTAAATTTATAAATATAATAATGATTTTATATTAATGTAATAACTTATTTAAGATGATTAAAAAGTATATCAATTAAATAATTACTTTAAATTATAGAATATTTTCATTTAATCAATGATTTTACTTTAAAATAACTGAAAAACAAGAAAATCGTGAATTGATTTGCATTTTTAATGCATTAGTTATTAAGTATTGAGTAATGAAAAGTAAATTATTTAAGAGATTGAATCAAATGATTGAATGTAAAAGTAGTAAGTCTTTAATTATCAGAGAAAAAGTTTCTAAACTCTAATAGAGTGGGTCTAAGTGTTTGGCTATACTTCTTCAAGATTAACCATTTTTAGTATCACTTTTTTTTATCCAACTCATAGACAACATAAAATAAATGAGAGCACCGGTAGTATCTGCAGACTCCGACATCACTTTTGTATTGCTATATTGACTGATGTCTTAAATTCTCTAACATTATCTTCTAATGAATTATTTATTTGACTATAAGAAGAGACAACTAATTACTGTTAGTAATAGTCAATGTATGCCAAAGCACTAGTATTACGAATGACTTATTATTTATAAAACCCAAACACTTGTCTGAGAAAACAAATATTATATTTGTGTTGGAATTTACTTATAATTATGTCTAAAGACATCCATCTTTACATAATTAACTTTTAAATATATATTTTTCTGATAATAATTAGTATAAATAGTCTCATTATTTGCTAAAACGTTTTATCGATTTATTTTTATGTAATAATGCTTAATGTATTGAATTCTAAAAATACCGGTACAAACATTTTCATTAGTTTATGTAATTTTCATTTTTTAAGTGATTAAACATATAAGCATACGAAAGGCTAAGCTAACAATTGTTTTAAGCAACAAAATTGCCATAAAATGTATTTTATTGATCGTTGCACTATTGAAGTGCCAATGAATTTACTTGTATTTCAATTATGTTATAGTTTTTAGTGCTTTTATCTTAATCTATGATAAAATGATTGAAATTCTTATAAGTTTCCATTGTTTTTATTAAATTGGGTTTTCTTTCATAAACTTTGGGATGAGTATAAAATAAATATAATAAAGAGATAGATAAAGAAAGAAAGAGAGAGAGATAGAGAGAAAGAAAGAGAGAGAGAGAGACTATATGATAGTAATGTTCATCAGTTATCCAATCCAAGTGTTGCTTCGTTTGCTTACGAGCTATGAATACAAAAATTGGTTTAAATTTCGGACAAATAAGATGTTGATTTCAAGACACGTTTTTAGACACTTATTATTTCTATCGACAAAAAGTTATCGTTTAAATTTGAATGTCATTCAAATGTTTCATTTGAATACTATTTTTATTTCTATTTGATTATTTGGTAGCTATTATTGTCTAACAATATTTTACGAGCTCTTTATATTTGATAATATCAGACCCTCTATTGACTTTATCTTTCATTGAACTTTATTTTATTAGACATATTTTTAGTGAAAAAAAACGTAAAATTAAGGTTAGTTTTCAAGATATTTAGACTTAAGATAATAGTAATGATAAACAATGCGACCGTAGAGTGAATTGATTTACATCATAGAAACAAATCTATTATTAGAGAGAAAGGGAGAGTCACTGAATGAGAGATAATTTTGTTTTGCATTTCAATATTAAATATAAAACTCGTTTACTCTTAAAGATTATAAATATAAAAAGCTTTTTATAATCTCTAATATTATTAAATGCAATCAAATTGTTTAATTATATTGGCCTCTAATCTTTATATAATTAAATTCAATTTATGGGTAAAATACAAGTTATGTTTATAAATAATATATATACAGTATTTGTCATTTGATATACAGTTTTGTGGTTTATATCATTCATCAATTTATATAAACCTATATAGGATTATCAAATTTCCTTATTTWTCGCTTCATATTTATGATTGATTACAGATGAATGAGTTTTATAATATTAAGTGACCGACAACTTTAAGATATTTATTATGTATAAGGCGTGTCTATGCAAGTGTATATAAGTGGATATGTACTATATATATATATATATATATATATATATTTATATTTATATAATTAAATTATATTATTTATACACTGTATTTATGTAATATAGTGTATTTAAATTTGATAGAATCTATCATTTTATTTGGTCATAAATTTTCTTTTAAAGTTAAGTTATGTAAGTTTGAAGTGAAGATCATAATATTTACTAATATTAATAACAAATTTATAACAAAAACTAAATTTATAGTAAAAATGTATATTTAAATTATTTGATTGTTAATCAATGAATACAATATTGTTGGCTGTCATTCACCCATTATTTTCTATTAATAACGCGTTTACGAACTCATAAATAGCTTATAAAAACATGAGTTAAAACAGCATTACATTATAATTTTATTCATTGCTTGAATAGACATGTTGTTAAATAAGCTTTACAAATAAGCTTATAGTTAAATAATTATTGCATGYTTTGTATAATGATWTATAAAATATTTATTTATAATTTATAATTATTATTAATGAAGTTAATAGAAATACTCGACTAATTATATTAAAAAATATGTTAAATTATACACTTGAAAAATTATATTGATTGAAACAATACAATAAACATTTTGTTTTAATTTATTATTAGTATAATAATAACTTTATGTAAATTACACTAAAACTATTTGTAGCATTGATTAGGGTTTTAAATAATAATAATAATAATAGATGATTCAACTAATTAGCTAATGAGTGTTCATTAATTAATAAATTTATAATTGTGTTGTATTTTATAAAAATTATTAAGATGCTAATAAGAAATCAAAATTATATTTTTTTATATGAAATTTATATAATAATTTGTTTCATTACATATAATAATAACATTCTTTATGTTTATTGATATTATTTCACTACACATACTGTACATACTATAATATGATGAATATACTGTATATATGATAAACTAAACATATAATGTACTGTACATTTTTATCATTTATTTGATAATCACATTTATTATATCAAATGTGTAGATATTTTTGTTATACTTACATAAACTCTTGTTAGTAATATTTTATATATTTATCAATGTTTTGACAATAAATTCTAAGTTTTATAATGTTTATTAAATGGTTGGGTAGTGTACAATATATTATAAAAGTAGACAATCATAAATAGAAAAGCTCAAATAATTTACATCCATTGTATAAAATGTTAAATTTATATAATGTTATAGTCAATAATTTGGTAAAATATTAATGTTTGTTGAACTGCCACAATTTGCTTTAATATATTACAAAAATATATTACATTACTTAGCATTTAATAATATATATAATAGTTGTGTTGAATTTATTTTTAAGACAATTTTAACATAAAAGCCTAATAGAGTAGAACTCAGTATTACATAGAAAATAATGATATAATAGAAGCAAATATTAACAGAAAATCACTACTTTTATCAGTTTTGTATGTTTTCGATGCATTTATTGCACATTCATATGAATGTTATGCTATGACTGCCAACACATGTATACAGTATTTATATTTAAACTAATTTTATGTCCTTTTTTTTGCTGTACATCTCGAGCACGGAAACAGATGTTATATGTATTAAATGTTTTTAGTTTTTACTATTCATTACAATCACAAACAACTCATTTTTAGTAATATTTTTGCATAAAATGTCTAGAATTTCTTAACTAAACATTATTTTTTAGTTTGCTATCAAATTGTGATTTTTTGTATTTAAATTGATTTTTACAAATTAATTGGATATTAGCTTTTATTATAATTGACTTATTTGTATAACAAATGATGATAATAATAATAAATTGAAATCAAGTACACAATGCAAACTCTATACAGACAACAAAAATACAGAACATAACTCAAACTCATGTTTATTATAGTAATGCCGATAAAACATATGATGAGATTCTCTATGAGATTCTCATTATTACCATTCATGCAAATGCATTGAATTATTCATTTTATTGAATTAAACAAATATACGTTATATGTATATAATCTGTATTACATAAGTTTAGTGTTTTACTTGTTTTTTATTAAAATATAATTACGTTTTGTATATTTTTCAATTTGAAAAGATTAATGTTTATGTGCTATATATTTATAACACTATAGAACCAGAATTTAAAGGGAAAACCATTAACTATATAGAATATAGTAATATCACAATTTGACAAATTATATGTATTATATTAAATTATAATTATTATTAACATTAACAAACATTTTTTGTAATAATATATATTAACAATTTAATTTTCAAGTTGTTCTTGTTTACAATAAAATAATTTTATTTAATGTAGCCATACTTGATCATACATGTATATGCTAATCAAAAATTAAGAAATGT